TTTAAGGGACTAAGACACTAATATATAGTAAAGACAATAGAATACCTAGCCTAATAGACTATTCAAAAGGCACTAGACAAGATAAAAGCCTAATGTATTAGGACTAGGAGGCGAGACAGACTACAAATAACTCCCTAGAAAGTCAAAGACCTAGAGTAATATAGAGTCTTAACAAGAGAAATGCTAGAGAAAGAGCTTTAGAGACTAAATACAAGGCTAAAGGAAGATAAGCTAAAGGGAGAGAAACAAAGCCTAGCAGAATCAATTGCTAGATACCTATAGGAGCAGGAATAGAACAAAACATAAGTTAGACTAGGAACCCTAAAGGCACTAATCAAATTTAGTCAACATAACTACTAGCTCTATAAGAACCTAAATAGGGCCGAGGCAAGCCTAGCTATCTAAATCAGATCTAAACACATTAGACTTAGATCTTACCTATTTAGAAGAAACGTCCTAGGAATTGAAAGCAGAGCTTGCTAATATAGCTACCAATCTTAGAACCCTAAGTATATACTGCTAGTCTACCCTTAATAGTTAGAAGGTAGAAGTAATTAGAGACTAAAAGCAATAGAAAGGGAATACGACAAGCTAATCTAGAGCAAAGAAGACCTAAAGAGGATAGTAAAGTAGATTATCAAACAGGGATTTATACAACAATTCGCACTAGTAAGGGAAACTAAGGAGTAGATAAGAAGGAGGGAAGAAGAGGGGGAAAGAAGGGCAGAGTAGTAGGCAAAGTAGTTAGAGGGTAACAACTATAATACTAGTATACCCTAGAGGAAGGAAAACAAGGAAACGAGGAAGATTAACACTTATAAATAGGATAGGAGGGAGGTTTTTACTAACTAAGTTGGTTTCCTACCTAAAACAATACATAGAAACAGACCTACATAGGCCGAAAGGCACTACAATAGGCAAATGAAATATCTATCTATCTATCTATATAGTTCGTAAGCGGTTCGGAGATTGTAGGAGTCGCAGTATATATCGTAAGGCTACGATAGTATTATTTCCGATGCTATATCGGTCGTTTATACCTAATCCGGCGGTATTTGCTCGAGGCGGTATACTCGAAAGGCTTAGCCTACGCGTTTCGGATAGTACTACTCGCTATAGATATTCTATAGAGTACTCGCTATAGGCGCTTTATAAGGTACTCGTAGTAGGCGTTATATAAGGTACTCGCTATAAGTAGTTCGAATACTATTTAGTAACTATAGGCGTTTTGGATAGTATCTACTATAAGCGTTCCGGAAAGTACTACTCGCTAAAGATATCTCGGATAATTATCGCTATAAGCGTTTCGAATATTACTACTCGCTATAAGCGTTTTTAGCAGTATTTGCTATAGGCGTTTCGGGCGTTTTGGATTAGACTTACTATAGGTATTCTAAATAGCACTTGCTATAGGTATTTTAGATAGTACTACTTGCTTTAAGCGTTCTTAGTAGTACTTACTATTAGCGTTCCGAATTAGACTTGCTATATACGTTCCGGATAGTACTTACTCTACGCGTTCCGGATAAGACTTAGTATAAGCGTTTCGGATTAGAATTGCTATATAGCGCGTTCTGAATAGAACTTAGTATAGGCGTTTTAGATAGTAGTGCTAACTGTTAGCGCTCTGGATTAGACTTACTATACGCGTTCCGAATAGTACTTACTATTATAAGTGCTCTAAGTTAGCCTTACTATAGGCGTTGTTAGTAACAGTTAGCTTATTCTACGCGTTCCGGATAGTACTGCTCGCTATAGATGTTCTATAGAGTACTCGCTATAGGCGTTCTATAGGGTACTTAGAGTAGGCGTTATATAGGGTACTCGCTATAGATAGTTCGAATGCTGTTTAACTATAGGCGTTTTAGATAGTACTTACTATAAGCGTTCCGGATAGTGCTGCTCGCTATAGTCTTAGCCTATAGGCCTTCCGGATAGTGCTTAATATAAGTATTTAGTTTCGGATTAGACTTAGACTTAATTTATACATTCCGGATAAGACTTTCTATAAGCGTTTTAGATTAGACTTAGTATACGCGTTCCGGTTTATATAGGACTAACTATACTAAGCGTTTAAAATAAGGCTTGTCCTACCGACTCCTACGCGTTCCGTATAGTACTACTCGCTATAGGTGTTCTATAGAGTGCTCGCTATAGGCGTTTTATAAGGTACTCGTAGTAGGCGTTATATAGGGTGTCCGCTAAAAGTAGTTCTAATGCTATTTACTATAGCCTACAGGCGTTTTAGATAGTATTTGCCATAGGCGTTCCGGATAGTGCTACTCGCTATAGATATCTCGGATAGTTACCGCTACAAGCGTTTCGAATAATACTACTCGCTATAAGCGTTTTTAGTAGCATTTACTACAGGCGTTTTAGATACAACTTGCAACAAGCATTCTAAACAGTACTTACTACAGGTATTTTAGAAAGTACTACTTGCTACAGGCGTTCTTAGCAGTACTTACCATTAGCGTTCTACATTAGACTTACTACACGCGTTTCGGATAGTACTTGCTATACGCGTTCCGGATAAGACTTAGTATAGGCGATCCGTATTAGAGTTACTATATAGCGCGTTCTAAACAAAACTTAGTATAGGCGTTACAGACAGTAGTACTAACTGTTAGCGCTCCGGATTAGACTTACTATACGCGTTCCGAATAGTACTTAGTATTATAAGCGTTCTAAATTAGAATTCCTATAGTTGTTTTCGATTAAAGTTGCTATAAGCGTTTTAAATTAGACTTACTATACGCCTTGTAGGCAGTACTTGCTGTAAGTGTTCCGACTCGGAAAGAACTACTTACTACAGATATTTCGAATAGTACTCGCTATAGGTATTCCGGATAGCAATTACTATAGGCGCATTCCGGCTCGCTATAGGCGTTTTTTAGGGCACTCGTAGTAGGCGTTATATAGGGTACTTGCTACAAATAGTTCGAATACTATTTAGCTATAGGCGTTTTAGATAGTATTTGCTATAAGCGTTCCGGATAGTACTACTCGCTTTAGGCCTTCCGGGTAGTACCTAATATAAGTATTTAGTTTCGGATTAGACTTAGACTTACTATATATATTCCGGATAAGACTTTCTATAAGCGTTTTAAATTAGACTTGCTATACGCGTTCCGGCCTATATAGGACTAACTATACTAAGCGTTTAAAATAAGGCTTATCCTACGCGTTCCGGATAGTACTACTCGCTATAGGTATTCTATAGAGTACTCGCTATAGGCGTTTTATAAGGTACTCGTAGTAGGCGTTATATAGGGTACTTAGCGCTCGCTATAAGCAGTTCGAATACCTATAATCGTTTCGGATTAGACTTGCTATACGCGTTCCGGTTTATATAGAACGAACTATACTAAGCGTTTAAAATAAGGCTTGTTCTACGCGTTCCGGATAGTACTACTCGCTATAGATATCTTAGATAGTTACCGCTATAGGCGTTTCGAATATTACTACTCGCTATAGGCGTTTTTAGTAGTATTTACTATAAGCGTTTCGGATATAACTTGCTATAAGTATTCTAAATAGTACTTACTATAGGTATTTTAGAAAGTACTACTTACTATAAGCGTTCGTAATAGTACTTACTATTACCGTTCCGAATTAGACCTACTATACGCGTTCCGGATAGTACTTACTCTACGCGTTCCGGATAAGACTTAGTATAAGCGTTTCGGATTAGAATTACTATATAGCGCGTTCTAAATAAAACTTAGTATAGGCGTTATAGATAGTAGTACTAACTATTAGCGCTCCGGATTAGACTTACTATACGCGTTCCGAATAGTACTTAGTATTATAAGCGTTCTAAATAAGAATCCCTATAAGTGTTTTAGATTAAAATTACTATAGGCGTTTTAGATTAGACTTAGTATCCGCCTTATAGGTAGTACTTACTATACGCCTTATAGGTAGTACTTACTATAAGCGTTCTAACTCGGAAAGAACTACTTACTATAGATATTTCGAATAGTACTCGCTATAGGTATTCCGGATAGTAATTACTATAGGCATATTCCGGAAGTAGTTACTATAGATATTTCAGACTATCTTGCTATAAGCGTTCCTAATAGTGCTCGCTATAAGCGTTTCTAAATAGTGCTTTCTAATATCTATAACGCGTTCCGGATTAATATTACTTTTTAGTATTAGCGTTTTAGATATAACTTACTATACGCGTTTTAGATTAGGCCTACTATAGGCGTCTAGATAAGACTTTAGCTACTCGTCGCCTTAGGCTTCTCGTATAGCTCTTCGAGCTATATAAGCCCTAGTGGTATGATGGTAAGCAGGCGTGGCCCCTGGGTGGCTTCCATTTCGGAACCCGCCTGCGGAAACCCCAGAACAGCGCGAAAGAAGTGCGATTATTATTATTATACAACATTCGGTTCTGTTTTTGCGTCAAATTAACCTTCTTCAGGGCCCTGAGTCCCTGACACTCATCGAACATGGCAGGCAGAGTCAGAGAGACGAGCGGAGCCGAAAGAAGGCATCTGATGAGATGGGTTTATTGATTACAGGAAAGCAGAGGGCGTTCAAAGTCATTCGGCGCCGTGAAAGCCAACGGAGCCGACGCTTTGCGACGCTGGTGCCCCTCGTCATTGTTGTGGCCTGTGAAACTGTATTCACCCACCAGTTGATAGGGCTCATACAAACGCGCATGGCTCGCGTTTGCAGCTCCTTTGCGACTCCCTTGGACCATGTAGCCGGTATCCTTGACCATCCTTATACCTCCCATCCTTTCCTTTCACCCCGGCATTGCGACGAGCTCATCTGCCGTTGCAAAGCATGCCCACAGCCATGCCTCCACTCCAGGTCCCTCCCTATATGAGCTCAATAATGCGCTGGACTGATATCATGTTGGGTGCATCCGTCAAACTAGAAAGACCCTCCTCCTCCCGGACTTCAACTCCCTCCAACAAGCCATTTCAACCATGGCTGCTCTCGAAATCGACAGCCGCGACAGTATCGTCCTAATAGCTTATCAAATGCTGAAGACATATTGGCTTCTGTTAATACCTACCATTTTGCTTGTGCGTTTCCTTTACTATCGATACGCCTCTTCACTGAGGCATTACCCTGGTCCTATACTTGCTTCCGGCAGCAGGGCCTGGAAAGGTGGCTAACTCGCTGTCTTATGAGCCTCTTCGAGATGCTGATCAGAAGCAGTATGGAGCGTTTGGTCTGGACACACGGAAATCGACCACATCAAAGTCCATGAGAAATATGGACCCGTGGTGCGCATCGCTCCAAATGAGCTCTCTTTCGCATCGCCCCTTGTAGCCAAAGAGGTCCTCTCCGCTGGGAAGGGTTTTCATAAGACCGATTTCTATGGTGTCTTCCCGCCACCCGAGAATCCAGACATTTTCACCGAAACTCGTGAGGCGGTCCACGCGGCAAAGAAACGCTATGCTGCCAATCCTTACAGCATGGCCACTATGTAAGTATATCAAATGGTGTAAGACATGCCGCCGCCCAGTGGCAACATCTGGAGCCGCCGTCTACGACACAGTAGGCTGGTGTCAGCCTTTGCTTTTGGGGCCGACCAGCTTTCTTTTTGAGACCCATGCTGATCCTCGTACCCTTCGCTTTTAGGCATACAATGGCCCACTATATCGAAGACACTGAACGTCTATTCGCGAAGAAGCTGGATGCGATGTGCGCTTCCAAGGATCAGTACTGCAATTTTGGAAATTGGCTTCACTATTTCGCCTTCGACGTTCTTGGTGAGATTGCTTTCTCTCGGAAGTTTGGGTTCCTTGAGTCCGGATACGATCTCGAAAAGGCGATCAAGACGATCGATGACATGCAGTGGTATGACGGGATCATAGGTCAAATTCCCGAATGGGACTTTGCATTCAGGCGCAATCCGCTGTGGAAGCTGATACCATCCTTGAACACTGCCAACTTCTTGATCACGCGGATGGCATTGCAAGAGATGGATCAGCGGAAAAAGCTCGGAAGCAAAGAGCTGGGTCGAAAGGACTTGCTGTCGCAACTCTTTGCTGCTCACGAGAAGGCGCCGGACGTCTTCAAGGAGGGCGATGTGTTCGCTGTCGCCCACGGCGCCATGTAAGCAAGACGCAAGAGCGAAGACTGAAGCATACTGACTTGATCAGATTTGCTGGGTCCGACTCCACCGCATCTACCATGCAGAGTTTCACCCACTGTGTCCTGCGCGATCCACGGATATATGCCAAGCTGCAGAAAGAGCTCGATGAAGCCACGGCGTCGGGAAGACTCTCGGAAATGCCGCAGTGGAACGAAGCACAAGCGCTGCCATACTTTCAAGCCTGTCTCAACGAGGCGATGCGCCTCCGCCCGGCGGTTGGTCTTGACATCACACGGCTGATCCCCGCCGAAGGTGCTGAAATCGATGGCCACAAGCTTCCCGGAGGCACCAGGGTGGCTCTGAATGCATGGGTGCTCCATCGCGACGAAGACATTTTCGGAATCGACTCCAAGTCGTTTCGTCCTGAGAGATGGCTGGATGGCGACGCGAAGATGATGCAGCGCTATATGTTCCAGGTAAGGCACTCTGCGACATGGGCGTGACTTGTGATGCTCTGCTCACCATCGGCACCAGTTCGGCGGCGGCGCGCATCTTTGCATTGGCAAGAATCTTGCCCTGCTGGAGATGAACAAGACACTCCCTTTGCTGTTCCGTGACTATGACTTCCAGCTGTTGCGACCGCAGGAGGAGCTGAAGTATCACTCAACGTTCTTCGTGGTTCATGAAGGGCTAGAAGTACGCATTTCCAAGAGAACAACACGACCTTGATATTCTCTCCCATGCCAATAGTTCAGATGTCGAGAAAGGCCATTGAACGACAAACATCAGCATAGGGGCTGCTGCCACCCTACCACAAGAGCATCGAGATCATCTTGTTCGGCGCCATAGAACCCTTAACCTCGACCCAATTCCAACGAATGATCCACATGGCGCGCATCAAGTTCTCATTTGCTTGATTGCATTACTTTTATCTCTTTATCATTTTATCTTGACCTTTCTGGTCTTGCTCTTCTTCTAACGCCTCTACATGACAACTCCTGACCAACGAGCACAATGTGCAAACGTGCCAACTTCAAGGCCTTAGCCACGCAAGGCATATCGCGTCCCATTTACGCCTCCACATGCCACCATACTCAAACGCCGAGCGCTATGCAGGAAAACAAAACCACGGTCATGATGCATTTCACGCTCGTAGCTTAGCAGGATGGATCCTTAAGCCTCATCATCCGTATCAGGTGGGTGTGGTGTACCTTTTGGCGAATTGAGCCATTCAATGTGGCGCAGACGTCTCCTCACTTCTCTCTCTTTGAGCTGCTTCTTAGTAATTTTCTTCTTCTTTGCCGCCTTGAACTTCATGGGGCTATCGTCCTCGGACTGTACGGCAGAGCCAGCAGGAGTTCCTTCAGTCGAAGGGGCTGCTGACGAGAGAGCGGATGGAGATGCGGCAGACGATGCGAGCGACGAGCCAGGTCGGGAGTCATCGAAACGATCCATGCTGACAGCTAGATAGCCTTTTTGGGTGAGGCGGCCATCGTTGACATGCCACTGCTCAGGGCAAAGGGCGCCGACAAATTCCTCATTGTGGGAGATCATGACGACACCGCCCTTGTAGTCTCGAATTGCGACCGCGAGACCACCGAGAGAGTCGCGATCCAAGAAGTTAGTAGGCTCGTCGAGCACAAGCAAGTGAGGGTTATTCCTGGTCTTCATGTCAGTATGAACGACTTTTCCCTGAAGCATCATTAAGAACTCACCACATAGCACCAGCCAAAACAACCTTGACTTTCTGACCTCCGGAGAGGCCTGAAATCTCATTGTGGTTGGCGATTTCTGGATCTAGACCAACATCCTCGAAGTGCTTTGAGATCACCTTTGGCTCCAGGTGCCGGAAGCCAAGACCTTCTCTGCTGGCCTCGTGATCGTCAAACTCTTGTATGAGCTTTTGAAAGCCCCAATCCATAAGCGTTTCGCGCGACACCATGCTGTTGTATTTTGGCAGCAGGTTCTTCCACTTGACCTCGTACTGGAATGACTTCTTGTACTTCTGTCGTCCGATCAACGCCTCCATCTGCCGGGCAGCCTTGCCATCGCCTAGGTCAATCCACTTGTCCATCTGCGCTTTGTCCTCGTCAGTAAGGACTCGGGTCTGCTTCATTAACACTTCTCGGTCGTCGCCGTTAGCATAGCGCCATTGGAGGTACTGATTCGGTGTCTTCTCAAGATGCATCTCAACGTGCTCGAGAGCGTGCTGCTTGATATATCCAATACGCAAGTTGGGATGCTTTTCAACACGACCAGATTGTGGAATGACTTCGCCAGTCAGAACCTTGATGAGTGTGGATTTTCCTGCTCCGTTCGGGCCAATGATGGCCACTCTGCTGCTCAGAGTGAGCTGAGCGGTGACGTTCTGCAAGCTGGGCTTTGGAGCTCCGGGATAGGTGAACGAACAATCGGTCATCCGAAGGATGGAGCGAGTGTTGGATTTGATACCAGTGAGGATACCAGGAGGCGGGAACTTGAATTGGACCTGGGAATCGGTCAAAGTGTAGTAACTCTTAGCCTCCGGTCGAACTTTCACCAAGTCAGCGAGATTGCCCTTGTAGTGCACCAGCTTTTTGTTCTCATAGTTGTAGATGTCCGTGCAGACCTCATCCAGGAACCCAGAATCGTGAGACACAATCAGCGAGGTGATATCAGTGTGCGACTTGAGGTAGTCCTGGAGCCATTTCACGTTGCCCACGTCCAAGTGGTTGGTGGGTTCATCGAGAAGGAAAACTTCTGCACGCATCAACATGGCTCTGGCCAGCGCCAGCTTCATCTTCCATCCTCCAGAAAGACTGCCGACCTTCTGTTGCTGACGACCACCGGGTCCTTTGGTGAAACCAACTTCTTCCAAAACATTCTCGATACGCTCTTTGCCTTCTCCTTTGATGGCCTCGTCCTTCATGCAGTATTCCAGAATGGTGATTTCAGCATCTTCACCCTGGTTGTGCTCGACAAAGCAATTTCTAAGCACGCTCTGAGGTGGAAAGCCATCAAGCTTCTCGTTGGCCATGGATCGCATGAGAGTAGACTTGCCGGCACCATTACGGCCGCAGAGTCCGTAGCGGTGACCTTTAAGAAGGCGCATGTTTGTCTGTGACAGCAAGAGCATTCCGCCGTAACCCAGTGAGAAGGTGGCGTTGACAATCTCTATCTCGCCATCATCCTCCTTGACCGGCTCGCCGAACTTCCGCTCGTCCTCTGCTACGTAGAACTTCCACACATTTTGAGCAACGATCTCAGCTTTGCCATCGTCCATCATAGGCTGGAGATATGGAGCAATATTGCCAACCAGTCGGTCGAGCATGCGCTGATTCACATCTTCAGCAATAATCTCACCGATAAATGGCTTGGTGACCGCCCAAACGTCCGAGTCACCAGAATAGTTGAGTAGACCCCCGTTCTGCTTGATCTCCTTGTCCAGCACTAGCTGCACGTCCTCGGACTTGACTCGCTCGACTACTGTGCGCGCGCTCGAATCTCCGTTCTGAATTTCGCCCATTGCTTTGATCATGGTATTGTATGCTCTGCCGCCAATTTCTCGAACTTCTGGTAGGGAAGCACGATCTCTGATAGCCTGGATTCCAGGCTTCAATTTTGGCAGAAACGCTCGCGCTTCGACAGGATCGTGCACCAGCTTGGTCAGATTCTCCACTACGACGGCCGTCTGTCGTGAAACTTCATTCGATGTCGTAGGGTCATTCAGCACACGTTCGAGAATCGGCGTGAGCAGTGCCAGTACAGGGGAGGTAACGACAGTCACGAAGGTGGTCTGGCTGAGCGCATGCACCGCCTTCTGCAACGCATGCTTATCTGGATCTTCCATACTCTTGACGAGCAGAGGTATCCGTGGAGCCACATCGTCGTTCTGCAAAAGTGTCGTTAAGCTGTTCATGGTCTTGAGTGCCTGTTTTTGGACCTCAGCCTTGAGGTCGTGCATGCCGTTCTCCACGACAGGGATGAGTTCTTGCAGCTTCTTGCCCATGGCTTCTCGAATCACATCTTTGCTCTGCTCGATCTCTCTGCTCTCCATGCCCATTTTGGCGTCATCGGCCATGCGTCCCATTAATTCGAATGCGCCAACCGCACCTTGCCATTTGCCAGCATTCTTGCGTAGATATTGCTGTAGCAGTGGGAGAAGCGCGAAGACTTTTGCCTCCGCACCGAGGTGTCCGTACAGCGCATCCAGAGCATAGCGCGCACCTTCTTTGATGCTCGACTGTCGGTCTGCCAGGGAGTCTAGCGCACAGCCGACGAGTGCGGTCTCTTTGACCAGAAATATGACTTCGCTCAATCTTGACTTGGGCGGGAAGCGCTCGAAAATTGCGCCCAGCGCAAACATGGCGCCCTCCCTCTTGGCCGCATCTTTCTTGGTGGTGCTCGCTTTTACGATCTCCGGGAGAACATTGTATGCGGTAAGACCGCGGAAGCCGACGCTATTCAGCAGCAGATCTGTCAGGGTGTAAGCGGCGTCCAGCGACTCCTGTGAAGTCTTGGAGGTGTATATAGTGTTGGTGATTTGCGCAACGTCATCAGGAGACGGCGCCGCGCTCTTGCTGGCCACCATCGTGGGCGGCATGGGCGGCGATTCGGGGTGAGGCATGCCTCGACTGCGCCTGTGTGACTTTCGCCTGCTCTCGCGAGTGGGAAGAGGGTGATTCTGCAATTTCGTCTAGAAGACCTCGATCACAGATTTTGGGGCGAGTTCCGAGCAGCTGAGAGTGCGGCTTCTCGCGACGCAACTCAGCCCGGATTCCGACTTTTTTGCAGCTGTGTGCTATCCTGGCTCAGCTGCGGCCGTGATAGTAATACAAAAGGGAAAAGAGTGGAGATTTGTCTGCGCGACGAGTGTGAGGACAAAGGACCTACTACTAGACTCGCAACGGAACTGAAAAAAAGTTACCCAGCCCTCCTGATTTGGGCCACTAACACGATAAGATACGCGCACGGGCCGAGGGATGAATAAGCAAGTGGATGGTTATGGATTACGGCAGGTGGAAGGAATATAAATGACATGGCAAGGGCCAGAATAGACATGCCGGAAGTATGATCATGCGTGTCTCTCTGAGCAATCACTTTGTGCAGTCAGCAAAGACCGGGCGTGAGTCTCATGAGGCATATACCAATTCACGTGCTCAACGAAAGAAATCACGATGCTATGAGTGCACTTGTCCACAATACGAAAGCCATTCATGAAAAGGTAATAACTGGGTATCTTTGGAAGCTTCGTTGATGGATTTGTCTCATGCCTAGAAATCCAGCCCCGTCATCTGCCACTATCTGGTGTAGCACACGAGGGCCTCGCACTCCCGTACCTCATCCCGAGTGCCCATAAAAGTGTCAAGCTCGCAGAAAATTAGCGGGTAGTGGCCTTGACCTTTGGTGCGGAACCCTTAGCGCCCTGCTTGCTGACGTTGCTGCAAGATTCGTTAGACTTGCGTTGAAAGGGTAATAGTGTGATAAACTTACCGGCCAGTGGTGGCGCCAGCAGCAGTCTTCGCGGCAGTCTTAGCCTTCTCGGCCTTCTTCTCGCTCTGGGTAGCGGCACGCTTCTTCTTGCCCTCCTCAATGGCCTGCTTGCGAGCAGCAGAGCGGGCCTCGGGCCTCATCGAACGGCGCTCCTTGATGACATCGAGGGAAGCACCAACGACGGCACGCTGAGCCTTGACCTGCTTGCGGCGGCGGGTCTTGGCTTGCTCCTTCGACAAGAGTCAATAATGCAGCTCATGATCCTCGCTCTGGACAGATCATACCTCAGAGATACCCTTGCGGCGCTGTCTTCTGCACAGAACAGTCCATGCGATGCGACGTGGGTTCTTGCGCTGCAGGAAGAGCGACTCACTCTTACCGTTCTGGAAACGGAAGATCTTGCTGTCTGAGCGGACGAAGAGCTTGCCCTGTTGTAGAACTACCGTCAGCCCGGATCCTCACAAGCGATAAAACACCTCGGGTTTTGTGTAGACGGTAGGGCGGCACAAATGCCTATATCCACGAGACTCCCATCTCGTATGCCACACGGCATCAGACTGTGCATTGCGCAGCAGTCATTCTCGTGTCTACGGCTCCTCCTCTTTCTGGCAGCATATCTGCCTCATTTGGGGTGTTTGTGCACGCGCATGCACTGCGATGGCGGTGGCGAATGATTCTTATCGTACCTTGCCCGGATAGATCTTCTGACCACTGAAGGTGTCGTCGTAGGTTCTCATGTTGGCGACGGCTCGTTGGGTGTTTGATGCGTGCTGGCAAAGCGGTATCGTTAAGCGTCGTGGACGAAATGAGCCAGGGCTAAAGGTGCGCCAAGATTTGCGGCCGGAGCCGCAGAGCCGCGAGCCTCTCTCACCTCCCCACACTCTCTCACCATCTCCCAAGAAAGACTGGACTCATAACGTGATCCCAATTGGTTCTGGATGTCCTAGTGGACTCGCACGCAGTCAAAACCTTCCTGCACTGCGAGGACGCCCTGAACGAGCCAGCGCCAGAACATCATTGTTGACGCAACAGAGGATCTGCGATATTCGACCAGACATCACTCCTTTTGGACTTTCGCTTTGACTACATTGGTGCATCTTCGTTGTGGTCGTGTATGGTCAAGAACTTTGTAGCTCTGGTCTGGGCGCTCAATGACTTTGCTATCCGCCGCTCCACCGCCCGACTCGCGGAAGTTGGAAAAGCCATCAGCTACTCGCATTTGCATATTGGTCACTTGCGAGATCGCGTTGTTCAGATGCGAATGCCTCCAATGCTCGGCGCATCTCTAACAAGGACCCGCAGCTTGACTTCATCTATCCTGTGCTGGGATTGCACACCTAAGATCAATCCTTCGAATCCTTCATCTGGGAATCAGCTGTCACGGTGTTCAACATTTCATGTGGAAGACACCTCTAACATTCTTTCAAGGCACGAAACACTACGGGAATTCAAACGTGACACCACCATGTTGTTTCGGAGGACGTCCGCTCGAAGCTCGTCGTCTGGTCTCCGAAAGGTCTACGCTCGATTTGGAGCCCACGACCACTGTTGTACTCACAAGGACGTGAGCAGCAGGCTCGAGCACTACTGGGCCCGTAGGTACAACGGCGACTGCCAATCCTTTGGCGACAAGTGATGCAGCGAAAGTGATCATAACTCTGCGCATGTATTTGAGATGGGTCTTGTATTGTCGCCAGCTCTCACGCAGTCAAAGGCTGAGACGCCCTATCTGTACCCTTCGCCGACTCTTCCTTCAACAAGTCAATTGCCATCTCCAGCTCACTCATGTTGTCACCCATCACCGTCTTCGCCCAAGAAGTGTTCAATCCCTCCCGCACAATGCAAACTGTCACAGGAAGCTGATTCGGACTGAACTTGAACATGTAGCTCGTCTCGCTGGTGAAATCCATTTCTGCAAATTTTATGCCGTCCTGCTCATGTTGTTGAGCTAGCTGGGCGTATCTCGGGGTAAAGGCTTTGCAGACAGGCAAAGCTGAATTTGAGACGTGAATGACGGTTGGTGTTGTCTTTGAAGCGGCCACAATTTGATCGTGGTCGGCTCGGTTTCGAATCTGTATCACTTTCGACATTGTGTTGTAGGCTATGATGCCACGAAAGTCCGTTTAATTAGATGTCGAAACAGCTACCACGAGGCTATATAGCTGTGCTGCCTCCGCTCGTCCCTGACCCTGCATCGGTGCATCCAGAGCTGGAGACCCTGGCGTGGCCTGGCAGAACAACGACGACGAAAGCTTGCCCATCACTCTTTCTCTCCCCAGGCTGCGACTCCCCACACTGCGATGTCACTACTACTGTCCGGGACGGCGATGGCCATGGTGGCTTCGTCTTCCTTCGTAAGTCTATCGGGTTGAGAATTGAATGTACCCTGAGTGAAGGTCTTGCCCTATTGTCTCACCCAGCATCATTCCCCCTTGTTCCTCCACTATGGCGGCGACCTCAGCAGACGGACAGGCACATGCACAGGCCTCGCCCAAAATACTCATCTCCATGCGCAATCTGAAGCTCACCGAGCTGCCTTCCCATCCTCAACTCAAAGACCACGAGTCAAGCACCAGCCCGGATGTACAATCCTTCGTACAAGCCCTCCTCAACGAAGGGCATGCTTTTATCACGGACCAGAAGATTTGGCAGGATGCCGGGCAGAAGAATGCATCTCCTGCGAAAGCATCTGTGAAGATCACGAAATATTCACGAACCACGCCAGGTTCACAGAGCGAAGAGACATGGTTTCAGAGGACCAGCTTACACGAAAACAAAGCTGAGCCAGGCACAGCGACCTTTGACGAGTTCGACAATGGCCTGAGAGAAAACCACTCCAAGAATGAGCAGGAATACACGCCGGGACTGGTAGAAGTTCACGAACTTCTGAATTATAAGGCACTGCTCGAGGGGAAAGGCAGAACAGCAGGTCGATGGCAGGATGTCGATTTGTACTGTAAGTCACTCCATCGTATTGACCCGAGCCATGAGCTTCGAGACCGTTCCGGGTCTGATCTAGATACTCATATGAGAACTCCCTTGCCTCTGGATCCTCCTGCTAACCCAGATATGACATCTAGTGATGCAGATGCGACACAAGGTGCCATCGCCACTCAAGAATCGCGTTTTCACGGTAGTGGTGGCTGCCGGCAAGATTGAGAACGAGTTTGTCGATGTACAAATTCCCGTGGAACTGCCCAACAACGCCAAATACAAGGAGACTAGCACCGAAATAGTGCACGGAGTATACGCAAGCGTGGAGCGGGGCTCACTGGAAGAGAATGGTACCCATGTGAAATGGCAGATGGGCACAGCAAGCGATGCGAAAGGCATACTGCCGCTATTCATTCAGAAGATCGCTATGCCTGGAGAGATTGCGAAAGACGTTGGACGCTTCGTCGAATGGCGTGGGCGTTTGCGCAAGTCGCACTCGTGATTTTCGGTCCTTGCGGAGCTTGAAAGAGTGGGAAAGGTGCCTTGCTGTGGCACTCGCATAGGCTGGACTACTGTGCGGCTTACCATCCTGGGAGAAATATCGGTCCAAAACATGTCAGGACGAAGTCTCTTTTCACTAGCGTTCTACGTTTACTCGTTCTATAAGTTGCTCTTGCCAAACGGCTCTGTTTGTGCTCATTATCGCTGAGCTTCGTTGAGGAGGCTCTGCCTCTCTCCTTCGAGCCTGTGCTTTTCAGCATCCCATTTTGGGCCCACACCGGCTTGGACAAAGAGCATGGCAACGGCGATCAACGCCATGCTTAACCACAACAGCTTGAGAGCATCCTGGTAGCCAGCGACTGCGATCTGCTTCTCCACGCCATCGAGCTGCTCCACCAAAGCTGGAGACCCAAGTAGTCTTCTGATGAGTGCGGCACGTTCCATGCCCTGGTCAGCGAAGCGGCCTTTGAGGGAACCGTCGAGCGTTCGGGGAAAGAGACCACCTCCAATGGCTGCGCCGAAAGAGCCTGCAAATCCTCTGAAGGTTGCCAGAAGAGCCGTCGCGACGTAGTGCGTCTCTTTCGGTGTAATGTGAAGGAGATGTGCCAAATCGTAATTCTGAGTAGCCCCAGTCGTAAGTCCACACAAGAAGACGACAAGAATGAATGCCCAAGCAGGGCTGCTATCTTTGCTTAGAGCTGCCAGCACTGCAAGCGTAACGGGGAAGAGTCCATACCCAACCAGAGTCGGAAAGTAGAAGGATCCGGGACGCTTGATGATGGTGCTTGAGTGCGTACAGTGAGGTGTTTGTCAAGCCATGAAGGTGCTCGGAGTGGGAGTGGCCGGTGGCTGAAGTCAATTCGTGTGATCAAAGCTATAGTCTGTGCGACCATGAGATAGAATACAGTATAGGCGGCAACGGCCCGTCCAGAACCTCTCTTCGCTCACTGCAATGCAGACAAATTTGCGCGAGCATTCACCGTGACGAGTGGTCATGTCTCGGAATGTGTTCGCATCCCACAGAATATTGGAGCGTTGGTCTCGCTGCACGTGCGCACACGGAAAAGCGGGTTCACATGCGGCGCACCTGAAGGAGGTGAAGGCAAACACACGGCACGAGAAGGCAAACTGCCCTAATTTGCATGCAGGTGGCGTTGCGCCCTGCAAACGAGCGTGAAGGCACCGATATTCCAGGCTCTAAATTACAGTACGTGCCGCCTTAAGTGCACTCTTTTGAGCGCCCTTCATGAGACTGGCGCATATCCCTGCTGGAGCTCGCACACTTCGAAGGGCTAGAATAGCTCTCATTTGCTCCACGCTTCACCGGACGAACCTGCTGGCTGCACCGCGCGATGGCTTTTGCTGGAGGGGTACTTATGCGCTTCTGTCTTGAGATCCACTCCGAGAGCGATGCTGCAATGGCTGACACACATCATAAGAAAGCTTTCCGCAGTGGGCAGTGCAGCAGCAGCTACTTCGATAGCATAGCAATAACGTTTAGTCTTCTCGTCCCTGTGCCTGATCTTGGAGCTTCGCCTCTTTGGACGGCTGCGATCGCGACCGCGCATGCACATACTCGCCAGTCAGCCGCAGCGGCCTCTGCAATACCCTCTCTTGAGTGTGTATAGCAGGTCGTTCATAAGTGCTATACTGCATCGAGACCATCACCTCCCAACAAAGCAATACTCCCGAACAATCGAAGGGCTGGGATCGTTTTCAATTTCCTTGCAGCATACATTGATCATCGTCGAGCCCAACTGGACACTTTCGACACTTTTCGTCCTTGATTTGAACCAGCCAGCCGACGCGGGCTTCGTATCGTACGCGCAGCATACGATCACTATCGCCATGACATTCAATCAACTTTCCCATACGGCTTTCCAAGATCCATGGAACGGCTTATGCCGCAACGATAGCTTCTGCTCTATCGACATTCAAGATGGATTCGGAGATCGAGGACGCCTATCATCATCGCCCTCGATCGCAAGATGTCCACCTGCATTGACAATGCGTCGATATCTCAACGAAGATGAACGGTTCTGGTCCAACGTCAGCGACGGTCGACTAGGACATCCATCTCCTGGACCAATATCCAATATACTGTCCGAAGGGATCGATGTGTGGCGATGTCACAGCTCCCCTGCTAGCACTGGTGACACTTCGGAGTCGTTTGATACCGGCTATAAGTCCACCAGTCGTCATCGAAGCCCGTACCCTCTTTCGGCAGAAGTAATGGGTCTTGGGATACCTCCATCGGAGGATGATAGCAACACTTTAAGCTGTATCAGCTATACCTCTGGTGATGTGAGCTTTCTAGAATGCCACGACTCGCACGCCCACACATCTTGCGTGGCTCTGCCTGAGATCCAGAACACTGCCGATAATCAGGACGAGAGCTTCAGCTTCGAGACAACTCCGTTCTGCACTTCCTATGGCTACGGCACCTACGCTCAAGAAGGATACCAGGCACAACCGGAGGAAGGATATCAAGCACGACCAGAGGACAGATGTCAACCGCTGCCCTCCGAGCAGGAAAGAACGTATTACAGCACTCCAAGTTCGGACCAACCTTCCGTTTCACTTCCGAGCAACAGCTCAGAAGAGCCCGTCATCCGTCGGAGGCGTGCTCCATCGGTGGGCGTTGCATCTGGTCGGGTTCGCAAGCAACATCCTACATCCAAACGAGCAGCTTCATATCAATATATCAAAGACGAGCATAGCGACGACATGTCGGCAGAAGCGGACGTTAGGCGATCCTTTCCATGCCCTCTTGTCATATACGGCTGCACGTCTACCTTCAGCGCGAAAAATGAGTGGAAGCGCCATGTACAGACCCAACACCTTCGACTTGGCTTCTGGAGATGTAATCAATGCGCACAAAGAGATCGCAAGCCAAACGACTTCAACCGAAAGGATCTTTTCGTCCAACACGTGCGACGCATGCATAGAACTTCTCCTTCGAAGAAAAAGGCACGTTGCGACGTCTCCGATGAGCACGACCTCAACGATGAAGCCAACAGGTGCTATCGACATTTACGTGACGCTCCAGTTGGCAGCTGCTGTATTTTCTGCGATCAGCACTTCCATGGCCCCGGCAGCTGGGAAGAGAGAATGGAGCATATCGGGCGACACATGGAGCATACGAAAAGGGACCTACGAGAACCTACCACGCCGACATCTTGGAGGCGAGATCAGGAGACGGAAACATGGCTGTTGAAGGCGCGTGTCATAGAGCGCTGCGGCGATCACTTGATGCTTGTCGATGGTAGCTCTGGGAAGTAGAGACAATTCACGAAGGAAGAAGAAGAAAGAGGTGCAGAGATTCTACGGTACGTGCGAGCTTGAGCGCGTCAATATCGTTCGATTCAGCATATTCGCGCTCTCTCATCAGCAATGCTATGCGTTATACCAGGAGATACCCATGATCGTTGGTAAATTTTGGGTTTGAGGATTAGAATGAAGGCATCCTTAATGTAGATGGATCGTCAAAAAAATGGGCAGAACCGCTTTCTCTCTCTCTCTCTTAACCTTCCTCGCTGTCTGTTGTGAGATTGATGTCGAACAACACAGCCCAAGATCTTTCTATGAAGCAGTAGATACTCGATTGTCGATTCCATTTCGTTACGGTTCTGCCATCGGAAGATCGTGAGCAATAGAAAATCCGCGCTGCTTGTCGGCCGGTGCGACACTTTCGCTTGAGGACAACGAATCTTGTGCACTACCCAACGACAACAATGTCATTCGTTAGCAAGAACTTCAAGCTACAAGCCTCCACAGGCGCGTTGTGAGCTCTAGAATAGCTCGCTGCAGCTGCAAGCTGTTGCTATTCATGTCTCTGGCCCCACAAGTCATTTGGTCTGACCATCGGAAATCGAAATGATGCAATTATGACAAAACGAAGTTGTGTTGTATTCGCAGAAGGCTTGCGGTCAAAATCCTTCCAATCCTATGATCTTGTTGGAAGTCATCGGTTCGGAGCAGTTCTCGCTCGCGCCGAGTCCTGCCGGGCATGCACGCTCGCTTGTCATGCCGTCGTCTCTCGATCCTTACCGGGCCCAGGCCAGAAGTCAGCTGGTATTCTGGATCACGCCATGAGGCTAGGCCATGCGCACTTTGCAGGTCATCACGCCCGAGAGCCTGGTACGCTGTCTTCCACAGTGTCTCCCACCCACGTCGGATATCATGTCGATCGTTCCGGTGATGCATTGTAGATTACGCCCCATTTTGCGGAGCTTCAGAGTTTGGGATCTGATCTTTTTGACGAGGGGTTGGTGTTCACATTGAACGAATAGGCGCACTTTCCGCGATATGACAGATCGTAAAAATCTCAAGGCAAGGAACACCGGTCGAGAAGGAGGGCGAGTGTTTCTGTGCCCAGTAGCTTGGATAAACCTCGCCAGAAAGGTACCGTAGAATCATCAGTGCACCTTCAGATCCTCTCATCAAGATGGCACTAGCTGAATTCTAGCATTTTTGGTCATTGCTGGCCTAGTCTTCTTTTGTAATCTGTAGGAAGCATAGCAGCGAGACCTTCCTGCATCGTCCATGTATGGCTCAAAACCGCACTTCGACTTTGTGGTTGTTGGAGAGCATTGCTTCGTCTGGGAAAGTATACCACCTCGAACCGCGAGACCTCATCATCAGCATACCCGCTGTTGGTGAGGACGAAACAAGCGGAACACTTTTCATCCAAGATCCGGTGCCAAGCATTCCGCCTTGTATAACATCAGGGAGCCGCTATGTTGCAGAAGCACGATAGATGTGCAAGAAGTCAATTTCTTGGAGTACATCGCCAGCAAAGAATCCGGAGCCCTTTAACCAGTCGATGATCCCTGCATTTGCACTATCACCACACCTGTGCTATCAATCCACTGCAGGCCTAATTTGCGCACTCTTCCCATGCTTACGGTATAGAGTAGCAGGTAGACATGTTGCACCACCTCACCCCAGCACCACACACTAACTGATTTGTGTGCAATGCAATGAGAGGCACGGTGAGTGCTAGCCGGTTCATTGTAATGAATATCCTGTGCTCTTGTACACCAAACGCCCCAGCCAACGCTTCCATTTCCAATCAAAGTTTCAAGTTGCCTCCAAAATTCAAGCTGATGAGTGGCAGGCCATGCGGACCATTCAATGTGCCAATAACCTCGCTCGTGGATCTCGACTGGTCGTAAAACGAAAGCAGGGCGATACACGGCTGGGCATAGTGTGCCCTCAGCAAGGTTCATCAGCATCTTTGTGATATGCGTCTCAAAAGACTGAATCGATGTCTGAGGAGGTGGAGCCCTTATCTCCAACGCGCTGCTCAGCAAAGCCTCGTGGGCTTCCCTTTGGATTTGATCTGGCTTGACAACAGGCAACATGGGATCCAACCCTGAGATACACCTCGTTGATGTGGTTGCACCGCAATCAGTCTGTATTTCCTTGACACAAGGATTGTTCATGTCCGCGGGCGCTTTCTGGATGTCTGCAATGGGATGCATGTGTGGTCTGCTTGGTCCTGCAATGACGGCTGTCTTGTTGAACTTTCCTGGGGTAGTTGTTGTCTCTGGAATATGGTCCTGATGCGAGCTGGTGTGGACAGCATCATCTCGTGGAGTGCGATTTTCCGAGGGGCGACACAGAGCCTGTGCTTGATCCTTTCCACTGTCGGCGGTATGATCACTCAGTGAATAGGAGGTGGGCATATCGGAGGTAGATTCATTGGTGACCACGGTACCATCGCCCGAGTCGCCAGTCTGATCAGTCGCACCTGGTTTTCTGATCATCCACACTGAAGCCAGATCCATTTCATCGCGGTTCCTGCTTGGGCCGGTGTTGCTGCTGCTATGCTGGCTGCCGAACCTTCGATCGCCTTCGTCATGGATAGGCTTGCTCCGACGGAGCAAAGCAGGCGAGGGTAAGTAAGAAGACTGACTCTCTGGCCCATTGAAGACATGCTGAACTGCATTGCCAATGCTGCCCGGCTCCGACACAGTTCGACGAAGTGTTGGCGTTCCAGGAACATCCGGCAGAGAATCCTTCTGGCACGCCTTAAGCTTTCCAACACTGCCAGATGAAGTGAAGATTTGGGTCTCTAGCGCCGTGTATGCCAGTTGAGTATCCTCGATGTAGTCATCATGATCCGGGAGAGTAGTCAGTAATGCGATTTCCGCAGCGGTTGCGTCTTGCGGCTGTTGCCTGACATTCGAGCATTCATGTGCATGGCCAGGAGCACGAAACGATGTCAGCTTGGCGACGGACATTGGTCCAATTTCCAGGTATGCAGCGGCCTGCGCGGCGCGATGTTCATCGTCTGATCGACTGCTTGGAGCCCCGGCGTGGACAAGCAACCTAACGCGTCGTTCCATAACGACGCCGCCTTCTCGTATTGCTTCCGTCCATGGTGGGCATGCGACTCACATTGCCGACCCTTCGTCGACGCGTCCGAGCGTGCATGTGAACAAGCAAATGATGCGGTAAGCACAGGTGAAGTGAAGAGCGGAGGCAACCAACAAAGAACCTTGAGCAAGCCTGCGCCCTGCGGTCGGTCGCGGTCGCGGCGTGCCAGAACTCTGTCGGCAGGATCCGAGTAACCGAACAACCGAACAACCGGATGTCAGGATCTTGAACGTGCTGGAATCGCAGAATGCGACATGGTCGGAATGGCCTGGAATATCACTCAGCTGAAAGTCCATGCTGAGGCAAGCTATGAAAGGCAGACCTTGGCACAAGGGATCATCAACACTTTGCGGTATACAACACGAGGCTGCAGACAATGCTTGATGAAAAACTCAGGTCCACGCCGGCATCTATCCATCTCCATATCGATTTTACTCGTCTTGTATAATTGAATACTGTCAACAAAAGATGCGCGGAAGAAGTTACCCTGCACATATCAGCACTGCTCATGCGTGTGCCAGCCAGCCAGCTCCTGCTTGATGTACTTCGATCCGAGGTATGGTACTTTATCCAACACACTCTAAAGTTTCGACAAAATCGTCTTCAAATTGCCTTCTCCGCCCATAATGATCTCCTCACTCTTGTAGTACGGATTGAACGTGATCTCATTGAGCGGATTCCTTCGATGAGCTCGATCGAAGAGCTCCTCGTACACCTTTCCGTCGTACCTGCCCAACGCACTGTCGAGCAGGAAATCTGGAATTTTCCAGCTATCGACCAATTTTACGGCGTGTGGTCGAATCTGCGCCATGAGTTCTTGAACCTTGTTGGGCAAAATGTCCAGGTCGTCATCTGAGACTGCCTGGGCTTTCAGGAAATCCCGCGCCTCGCTGTCCATGGTGAAGAAAGCGAAGAGACGGAACTGTGTATTGAGATGCTTTCTGAGCACAGAAGACATGTCTGAGCCGCCGTTGTTCAAGGCCTCGAAGAAATTTGCCACCAGAATAGATTGCGATTCGGCAACACTGATTTTTCGTAGCTGAATCTGCAGCTCCTTCTCGCTACGCTTCTTCTCGATCCTTTCAACATATGCCTTGTACGTCAAGAATCTCGAGCGACGACGGAAGGCATTGACGATGTCGACGTCCCGGTCAAAGATACGGAATGGCTCTGGTCTTGTGTGGTGCTCATTTTGAAGCCACCTTCGGCAAGAGGCCTCGATTTCATCCTCAGGCTCTCCCTTGCGCTTCACAGCTGCTTCCATACGCTTGATGAGGTATCTTGCTGTCTGTTGCGTTATCATCCAGTTGTCGCCCTCAACTGTAGGCTTCGATAGGTAGTCGTTGTTGAATTGCACGAAGCCACTCGAATACATGAAGCCATGGCCACCCATTGCTCTGCGACAAGTTTCAATACTATTGGCTGCCAACTCAGTGCAAAGACTTTTGAGGCCCGACGACTGAGCATGCAGTACAGCTAGTCGGCTGAAATCGCCACGCTCAATCTGTGCTCTTGTGTTCTCATAGAGGTTATGCATGGCTTCTCCAGTGTAATGTAGTGCAAAAGCTGTTGCGAGTAGCGGCAAGATGCGTATCTGTACAGTCGGGTAATCGAGCACAGAAAGTTCGGGTGCATTCTTCTGTTTGGTGTCTCGGTCTGGGAATTGCTTTCTGACTGTGCCGTAGCGCACTGCAATCGTCACCGCCCGAGCCATGATCAGTCGAGCGTGCATGATTATGGTCGCTCGTACGTACGTCAAGCTCCCGTAAACGACTGCAGGATTAGCCGGTTTGGTGTACTTGCACGTTGTTGGATCGACATGGGAGTATCTTGAGAGCATAGCTGAGTGCGGCACCCTGTAGTTGTCGAATAGCATGTAACCGTTGTCCATAGGTGCGTAGCCGTACTTTGGCCCAATATCGCCGACGATGATGCCGTTGTGTGGTTGATGGGTCTTCAGGTCCCGTATTTGAACTATGAATGCATGAGGTCCATGGTGAATAAGCTCCTTCGAGTCTGGCGACTTCGGTATGTAAAGCTGCGCCATAACGATGGCATGATTGGCAGTCCTTCCCATTGAGCCATTCCACCACTTGCTAGAGGTCAGGTATGGGCTATGAAGGATGAAGCTTTGCGATCTAGGGTCGTAGGTCGCGCGACATTCTATGCCTCGTACATTCGATCCATGACCGAGTTCAGTCTAGACACATTGTAAGTTTGTATCGCGAAATTCTAGAGGAGCTCATACCTGTGCATAACAGCCAATCGCCTCCCAAGCCTGGATCTTGGGCAGCCAATACTTCCTCTGCTCATCATTGCCTTGCTCCTTGACCGTCGTTTCGAACATCGCAGAGTGGACCATGTACGGGGAAACATCGTCACAAAGGTATGCAGACATATTCTGATCCTCGCTGTCCCATCCATGCTCATCGGCCCATCGACGAAGCTTTTTCGCTCGGGCGAGTCCTAACTGATATCGCTCTGGCCGTGAAAGGTTTGGTTGCCGTACTTTATTGAAAAGCGGATCTCTTTGCAGAATCGGCAGTATCTTCTGTTGACGTTTCAGAAAGTCATTACGGGAGAGCAGGTGCTCAGCAAGTTCGTCTATCGGAACATCGGATTGGCCACGCTCCTTGGCGAGAGTATCTGGTCCGGTTGGCGAAGCTGGCCTGAGACTGTCTGCGAAGTCCGGCATCTTGGTGTCGTAGAACTACTTGTGGCGATGAATATCTCAGGCCCGCAGCTCTCGGTTTCCCTGTCCAGCTTCAAAAATCTGATGCAATGACTATCGATGTGCTAGATGTTCAATGGACCGTTTCTCGTGCTGAAAGATAACAAAAGGCCTGCCACAAGTTCGTCGAGATTATCAATATGTCGATATACGCCTGTCAGCATCCTAGGTCAAATGGCATAGACGACTTGTTACCCGCGGCATTGTCGACCGAACCTGCGGTGTCGCTTCTAAATTCAATCTAGCCTCAAGTGTCACAAATGGCGGGGAAGCGGCAGGACATAGCCGAGAACAGTGACGGCATCAGCTCCTCCATGCGCGCCGACGACGGCGATCTCGGCCAAGATCACTACATGCCGTGCTTCATACCAGGGTGTCATCTTATTGATAAGAAATATCGCCAATGCCGGCGGCTTTTCCATCGATTCAAGCCATATACAGAGAATTAGAGAGACTTACCGTCAACGCGAGCCACACTTACGAACCAGGGCCAGGAGAAATACCAAACGATGAGATCGTGGCCGTTTCAACACTGATGAGAGAGCCTTGGAACATGGGCGTCTATGATGATCGCACTCTCCATGTGCCTAGACATGCAGGCCGCGACGTTCTGCCTTGCCATCCACTCTTCAATCGCTTAGCAAGATTTGCACATGCAGTTCCAGCAAGGCTATGCATCCGGGACGTCAACACTGGTATCGAAGCGACTCACTTGCAGCTGCTGACCGACGTGCTGGCCTTCCGAGAGCGGATCTGGCAGCAACTGAACCCCGACGTTCGTCAGGCCTTGGAGCAGCGGCAGGAGGTATATATTGCCATACTGGCCGCAGGTGGATATGAGTTTGCTGTGGCTATTCTCGCGGGTCTCGCCCTGGGAGCTGCAGTGGTTCCCATGACTATCGCTCTGCCGGCAGAGGAAGCTCTCTATTTCGCATCGAAATCGAAAGCTGTTGCAGTCCTGGTTTCAGATGGAGCATTGCGTTTGGGCCTGTCACTGGAGAAGCTCGTGAAAGACCAGAATCCTCGCAGCTCATTCGTGTGTATACCGGCTGGGCCATCACTGATGAGCTCGACGCTGCACCCGACCGATATCAAGGTCTCGTCAGATCTGTATCTCGACGATAATGCTCCAGGAGTGGTGATTTTTACGTCAGGAACGACCGGCAGGCCCAAAGGAGCTGTAATGCGGCGTGGTTTTATCCACGATGAGGCTTTGGCTATCGTGGATCACTACCACATCACGCCAGACGATGTCCTCCTGCATGTCTTGCCAGTACACCATGCAACCGGGATAGGAATGATGTTCTTTCCATTCTTGATGGGCGGCGCATTGCTCGAGTTTCGCAGCGGCAGTTTCAGTCCAGAATGGACGTGGGAGCGCTGGAGGCGCAGGGGTGCGACATTTTTCTCCGGTGTTCCAACCATTTACATGCGAATGATGCGATACTTTCAGCAGAAAATTTCCAGCACTCCTGACTCCCAGCAGTATATTAATGGTGCGAGAAGTCTCCGAGCTTGTATATGCGGCACATCGGCGCTGCCAAAGCCTATCGCAGATTTCTGGAAGGGCCTTCTTGGACGCCCTATATTGCTTCGATATGGCGCAACAGAAATCGGAGCGGTCTTCAAAGTGCGCATGAATGATGAAAATGTACCTGATGGCTCTGTGGGCACCCTTTTCGCAGGATGTGATGTCAAGCTTTCCGACGGCGATCAGGGCGAGGTGCTCGTTAGGTCCCCGGGCATGTTCAGCAAATACCTCTTTGACCAGCAAGCGACAGCAACAGCACATACAAAGGATGGATATTATCGGACTGGGGATATTGCTCGGCGAGAAGGTGAATATTTCTGGATCATGGGTCGAGCTTCTGTGGATATCATTAAGTCGGGCGGATACAAGATCAGTGCACTTGACATCGAGCGAGAAATCTTGTCGCTTCCATACATTGCAGAGGCAATGGTAGTCGGAGTGCCGGACGATGAATTCGGGGAGCGTGTAGCAGCAGCCGTGTGTCTTAAGAGCGAAGGAGATATGGCACCGGAAGACCGACATCTCCTCGTTGAGTCCCTGACCATCTCGAGATTGCGCCAAGATCTTCGCCGAAGGCTCGCGGGTTACAAGATGCCGACGATCTTGAGGGTGATACCGGACGAGTTGCCCAAGTCGGGGACAGGCAAAGTCGTCAAGAAGCTACTTGGACCAGAATTCTTTCCGCCACAAGAATACCAGAAATTGAAAGCAGTCCAGGTATGGCGAAGAGAGGCGCCGAAGCTGTGAAGTTTCTTGAAGGCGTACTGAGGGAAGACCAGCAATATTCTTTCGGCCTAGTGGGGCTGCCAAATTTCTCAAGCAAACCTCCTCATCGTCACCTGTCGAGGGGCCGTCTGAGCCCGATTCAAAGCTGACATGTGGGGAATGCCGTCGGGGACTTGGCGGGCTGTCATTCTCAGCTTTGTTACTGGCGAGCAGTCTGGAGTCAGTCTTCCAGCAATATGAGCCAAGAGATCAATCAACAGATGACTGAAAGCTTCGCCAATACCGATGCCGATCATGGCAGCGCACCTGAGCACCCGAACAGTAGCCGTGCAATGTCCAAGTGTCAACATTGACGAGCGCAACGGAAATGTAAGGTATGCGCAAGATAGTGGCGATCTGCGGTGGAAAGTGACAGAAGAAGAATCCAGCATTGAGCTTGCGGTGGAAATAGACGCATGGTAGCGTGTTAGATTGTGAATAGACGGGCCTAGAGCAGCACAGCTGCGTAGACAGTGGTCAAAGCTTCGTGAGTTGCATTCTGATCAATCATTCTTGTCCATTACTCGAAGGCGGCTCGCACGTTTGGTCCTTTCAAGCAGCAGCAAATTTGGCTTTCCTCGCCTCGGCCTTCTGACGGTCTGCTTCGCTCATCCAGTCTGGAAAGCCTCCGTTCGCTTTCTTCTCCGACTTCGGTTTCTCGACGCTGCCCTTCTTTGTCGGTCCAGGCCTGCCGCGGCTTCGCTTCCGAATACCGCCATCATCTGCCTCTACTGCGGCGGCCCTGCCTCGCTTATCGCGCTTCTTCTCCTGGAGGGCTCGATTCAGATCGCCAGGAAGGTCAGTGTCACCGAAGCGCAGCTTGCGCTCCAACGCCTTGATCTCATCACTGTCCTCAGGCATACCGAACCGCCGTGCGCGTGCTTTACGCTTCTCGATCTCCTCTTGCAGCGTCCGCTCTGCCAAGTTGGCAGAGTACTTGGAATTGTCCTCCTTCTTTGTCTGTGTGGTTGATGCATCAGCGGGCGCTGCTGCCACTTTCAAGTCATGCGTCTGCGCCGGATCGATTGAAGCTTCTTGATTCGGCACTGCCTGAGGATTGCTGATTTGGCCTTGACCGCCGGCGGCAATGGCATTGGCAGCAGGTTCAGTCGTTGCCGCCTTCGCGGACGACTCTGTTGCAGGCTCGTCGTCCCAGTCGATCTCGTCCTCGTTTGCAGCGGGCTTGGCGGCAGCAGCTGGCGCAGTCGGGGTCGCAGTCGCAGTCGCAGCCTGTTTCGCATCGTAGTCTTCCAGGCGTTTAACCAGGTCGGCCTTCTTGCCCGTGTGCGCAAGACCGCGCTCTTTGCAGAGCGCTGCCAGCTCGTCGTTCTTCTTCTTGGCGTAGTCGGCCATCGTGGGCAATGGCTGTGAGGTCGCTAGGTATGCAGGTAGATGCAGATCATACGATTTCGATGTACTGTGATCGCAAGAGTTGAAGTCGCGGTCGAGTCGGCGGCGGTGGTGATGTTGATGAGGGTAGCTGCCATGTTGTTGGAAGTCGCGTTCAGAACCCGCGATTGGAATGCTTGAGCGCCGAAGATGTCCCGATGCCAAGACATCGCTCTCCTGCCATCCTTTCTCAAGCCTCTCCTCTCCTACCTAACTTCCCGTGACCCCATCCGGACGAGTTGGCGCAGGCAAGACCAATTCTGCAGAGGAACTACCACCGAATTATTGAATACACTGTCATTCATGCGGCTTATTCCGGCGTGAGCTCTACTAATACGAGGCTGAAGAAGTTCATGTTATTGGCCGCCATGGGGAGCAAGACAGAAGCCAGGTCACACACGCGTGTCGAGACTTATTAGCCCTCAAGGAGCTGTTCATCTCGCATGCATTGTTTTGCTACATCGAGTACCCACGTTTGGCCGCTGAGCCCTAGGTCTCGCATGATCTCATGCTTGATTGAAGCTAGGATAAAGACACATCATGATGGCTTGTGGCTGCCGACAAGTTACGATCGGTCTCTTTCCTGAAGCCACCTTTCCATGGCGTTCCTCAACGCAGCCACTCTCTCAGGGCATAAGTTATATCTTTGCTTTGGCTTGGGTTCCGGTTCTGTTCCCGTGCACGTAGCTGATATTACGGAACGCCCTGCCCGCCTCACCGTACAGCTCATTGCGGAGCGCGGCGAATACACCCATCTTCGCTCGAGGCGCTAGTTTCCGGGCAAGATCTAGAGCTACATCGAGCATTTTCTCTGGCTCCGCTATTGCGTCGACAATACCGTCCTCAAATGCCTGCTGGCCTGTCCACCTGTGGGCTTCAAGCAGCATTTTCCTGGCAACCTGGGGTCTTAGCTTCAGGCGTGGGAGGGCACCGATTCCAGGAAAATGCAGGCCAAGATTCACAGGCGGCATCGAGAAGAATCTGAGCAAGAGAACGCATAGGATCAGTAAACACATTGAACGTGAGGGAGTGTGGCATCGTCGTACCCTCTTTTGCTGTTCATCACGCGGTAGTCGTGACTAAGTGCGAATGGCCCAGCTCCTCCGAATGTATGTCCTGTGATAAGAGCAATCGTCGGATAAGGAAAATCTACAATGGTGGCCAACAGAGGATAGAATCCCTCCGAATTGGCGTAAGGGTTGCTGTCTGCTTCGTCCAATTCTAGACCCTGCGAGCGTTAGGAGCCTTCGTCAGCCTCGATTGGCCTAGTCATGACCAGGTTGATGAGCCTACTGTGCACCTAGATCGCCACGAACGTCGCGGTCAGTCCATGTTCAAATAAGTGAGATACTGCTCTGAGGCTAGGGTTTGAATACCAGAACTTCGCATCGTTTCCTTTTGTAATGATTGCTCCTTCTGCGTCTTCCCCTAAGATCTTGCGAACAGCGTTGTATGCACTGATGAGCTTTTGGGCGTATTGGCTGTTGATTCTGTTTTCTGGTGCTTTCCGCATGGTCAGGACGAATACGCTGCCCTCATAGCGTTCTAGGAGTAGATCTTTCTCGTTGATGATTGTTTCTGGCATCTTGTCTAAAGAGGACTGGGTGTTCGAGTCTACCAATTCTGTTTGTTCGCTTGTACAGTGTAAAGATCTCGCAGTGATGTTCACGGTGAGCTACAGGCTACGAGCGTTGATGCCGTCGGTAGCGTCGATGAGGTAGGCGGGAGCGCGGGAGGCGGGGCGGAGGGCGGGCGACGGCGAGCTACTGCCGAGGCAGCTTGCGAAGACTATTATGACAAAAGTCGTTGCACATCGCCATGCCATGACTTCTTCGCCGCTCAGCTATTACAATACTTCGTCGACCCAATTGCACCACCCCGTTGAGTGCAGAGGAGAGGGACTCACGTCCTTTCAAAAGGCCTGTAACGACCACGTGTGCTTGCTCTGCGGCGCTCCAGTGCCTACTTTTCACAAGCTTCTGCGACATCACGGGACATCTCGCCATATGCCTTACGCGATGCAGAAAGCAAGCGCAATGCAAGAACGGAGAAGCTCGATTATCGCTCCAACGAGAACTCGGGAGCCAGGCTCATGGCGCACGCGTCGATGCTCATACTAGCGGCCCGCATTGGATCCAGATTAGGCATTCGTCCTGTCGACAGGTCGGTCCAAGCCGCATATCAACCAGGATGTGAGGCCATGTCAATATTGCCAAGTGGGTACGAAAACCTCGACATGAATTGATTGGCGCTCGGGTTCACGCGACAGACTGTGCTGCGCAAAGCCAGATGGAACACACCTCCTTATTCCGACCTCACTTGGTGTCTAAGTGCGAACGCCCTACGCCCTTATATACTTGCGGCGTCTGACTGAAGCCCGCCATCTGTCGCGGAGCGGAATGGATCTATCTCAGAGCCTAACTACCCCAAGATGACGAGCCCGGTGGATCATCCGGAGTCCGGCCTACTGCACGAGGTTTTGCGTCGTTGTTTCACATTTCTACTCCTGCGCATATCCATAGGACTTGACTGGCATCCAGCCTGGTCTGCCATCATGATGTCACATCGGACTGGCATTACGGAACGATGAGGAGGTCAAGCGACGAGAACTCGGCTTGGTACCTGGGATGCAGCCAATCGAACAAGCGCTTCTCTACCGGAAACTGAATATACTACCTAAGATCTCTACAGTAAGGGAACTTGCCTAGAGGTCTAGGTTATAGATTGCCTTTTAACTGAAAGCGGACACAAGCAGCTACTAGGACTCGCTTCTCTATCCAATTCCAGTCAAGTCGGGTCGACAGCAAGGATCAAGTGGATCTCTGAGGAAATCTGAAAGTTGACTGCATGGCCTTGAGACCCATGCGCACGCTAGACTCAAGCGCCTAGAGCGATGAACATGACCTCTCCTGGATAGATTCTCGTCACCAAATTGTCGACCCTCAGACTCGGGTAAGAATGTTCACGGGCACCTGGTCGAATTCTAGGAAATTTACAGCGTCTGAACACATCGGAGTGAAAGCACTAAATTCCCCAATCCTGGATTTCATGGTTCGAAACGAATCAGAAATCTCAATTCTACGAGCCGCTGGTGTCCACTTTCGTTCCGATGCGTCAAGACGCTGTATGCAGTGGTCGAATATCAGGATTCCACGATCGACACAACCCAAGGATGAGTTGAATGCTTGATCGTTGCCAATGATCTCCATCGCGCGACATCGGCACGGATTACCGCCTCTTGTGAAGGAGCTTGGTTGCTCGCGAACATCACATCAGATGTGCCGACCAGGTCGTCTACTCTGTCTCCGACGCGATGCTAGATCAGAAAGCGGCTCGCCATCTGGAGTTCATGTTCCAAGCTAGATCGACGGGAATAGCCTGAAACTCGCAACAAAGTCGCTGGCAGCACGGGCACTTCGCTCGTGTGGTCGATCAGTGGCACCATTCCATGCACGTTCAAGTAACACAAGCATGGTTCGGGATACCGGTTGGTCTGACCAAGTCCTCGAGAGCAACAGACCGCGCAATCGAGCTTCTGGTGTCTATCTTTGGACCTCAACTTGTCTGTGAAAGTTCAACGGAGTGTCGATTCGCCGGCTAGGCGAGATTGACCTGTGTTGTGAAGAAAAATGTAGGGTCAATACAGCGAGGATTGCTCTCTAATCCTCGCTAGCTTAAGTATCTGGTGCGCTCTCGCTTCTCCACGCACAGTCTGAAATACATCGACTTATTCATTCATTCTATTATACACCCTTCCTGGTCTGCTTGTTGACAGGGCTAACAACCGACGATAATGGCACTCATGGCTCTCGTCACTCTGGCACTGGCCGTCACGGCCATTTTAGTGGTAAAATACATTGAAGCATCGCGGCAAGAGAGAAGGTCCGCGACGAGGAAGCTTCCAGGCCCGAGAGGTTTGCCAACCTCGTTGCACAAGACCGCTGTTAAGTACTGACTATGGTCCAGGTCTACCGCTGATCGGAAATATCCATCAACTACCGAATAAGTGCAGCTGGCTCAAATTTCACGAGTGGGCCGTCAAGTACGGTCCCATCTATCAGGTCAACCTCGCAGGCACAAATCACGTAAGCAGTCGAGTGCCTTGGATGCCACCAGGACGACGTATTAAGAACCAATGCTAAACTTTATCTTGTGGACGCTAGGTATGGATCTCTCGCGACAAAGAAGCGCATGATCTTCTTTCGAAGCGCAGTGCCATATACTCTGATCGACCGTTCATTCCGGCATTGGAACATGACAATCGGACATCTGGACAATACCTGCCGCTCATGAGCAAGAATGCTCTCTGGTCTCGACAGCGCAGGTTCGCCAAGCAAATAATGGAAAGATCTCAGAAGGATGGTTTCTACTCCTACCCTGAGCTTGAAGCGATTCGTCTATTGTTCGAATTGATCAACGATCCTTCGGCATATAACACGTCGATGGAATCATTTGTCGCAAGGGTCACAAGTCGACTGGCTTGGGGGACATCAGTGGGAGCGGACGAGCTTAAGCAACGTGCTCGTGAGTTGCTTATTGGTGTCTCTCCTACTGGTGCCCTTGGGAACAAGCTACCAGCTGTGATGTCGCTTCCTGAGAGTCTCTCGCCCGCCAAAGCCTGGGAACATCGACGCGGCAGAACTGAGCGCAAGTTCTTCCAGACTATGCAAGATAACGTCCGTCATAGCCTGGACGCTACGGAGCAACTAAGAATGTCATGGACACGCATGTTTCTGGAGAACAAACGTTTGTGGGGCTTTTCAGACGACCTGGAAGGCGCCTTTGCAGTAGGCATGCATGGAATTGCCGGCGCACTGACCATTGCGGCTCCCATGCAAAGCTTCTGCCTTGCCCTATGCCATTTTCCTCAGCATCAAGCAATGCTTCACGAGGAAGTCGATCGTGTGCTTGGAGACCGCTTACCCACCACAGCTGATATGCCGAAAATGCCAGTGCTTAGGGCATTCATTCGAGAGACTCTACGCTGGCGTCCTCCCGTCCCAACTGGCATCCCTCACGCTCTGACCGACGATGATATTTACAAGGGCTATCATATCCCCAAGGGATCAGTCATTCATCCTCTCGAATGGTCGATTTCTCGGGACCCAGAAGTGTTCCCGGATGCAGATACCTGGAATCCGCTCCGATGGCTCGACTCGGAATATCCTACATATCAAGAGCCGCTCACGCAATTTCCAACAATCACGCAGTATTCACAGTTCGGATACGGACGTCGCATCTGCCAAGGCATGGGAGTTGCTGAAGCTGATCTGTTCGTTGGGCTTGGCAGTGTCGCTTGGCTCTTCTCGATATCGAAGGAACAGGAACAGGAACCCGGCCCAGCTTGTGCTCGAAAGCAAGATACAGGTTCGGATGCCGAGACGGCTTCATCGACGAGTGACTCTTCGCCAACCCCATCCAAGCTTGCAAAGCTTGCCAACGACTCAGCCATCAGCCTTCATGACATCGAAGCCCTTGGGAAGCAAACCACATCTTTGACCCGTCTGGATACTACAAACAAGCGAAACGGGGATCATGCACCACTCACACCAGGCAGCGAACCATTTTCAAGCAGCTCTGACACGATGTCATTGTTGGATTTTGGATCGGAGGTCGAAGACCTCGAACTTCAGCCCGTTGGAACACCATCCCACTACGCTGCGTTATGGTCGAAAGCTGTACTGAGGCATCACTCGGTCGCCACGGAGACCACGCGGAGTCCCGCCACCGTTGCTTTCCCCTCCAACGTGCCAACTCCTGATGCAGATTCCAATCAGGGGGCGACCGCTTCATCATCTATCCTCACAGGCTTATGGGCATTCGCATGCAAGTTCATTCCATTCAAAGGCCAGGCTACAGCCACTGCGATCCCAGACGTCGACAATGACCCTACTCTCAACTTCTCCACCTTACTGATCGCGAAGCCTCTGCCTTTCAAATTCGACTTGCGTGTCCGGAACCAGGCGCGTGCTGAGCAGGTGACCAGAGCTTTCTTGGAGCAGAAGGAGAAAGGTGAATTTGAAGAAGAGAGAGTCTTCTGGAAGAATAATAACCAGGGTGATGCTGAAGTTGGGTAAGTTATCATCATAGAACGTCTTTTATGTGGCGTCGCCTAAGATCTTTCGCTGATGCTTGGTCACAGATGGGGTCAAGTCTTCATGTAACGAGGTAATTGACGAGTAGGAGCATGGGGCCTAGCTTTCGGTGCCTTGCACATTCGAGACTGTGGGTTTGTATGAATATGGGGTAGCTTGCTACGGGTTCGGCGAGGAATCTCGGAGGTTGGCATGAGCTTGGATAATTAATGATCAGAGGTCGTCGTATCCTGATCGTGACGAGGGGACTAATTTCGTTTTGTACCTATGTGGGAATCCCTGGATCCGATAGACGGCTCCAGTAATGTATTGTTGATATGCCTTTTCACATCACGACGAGCTTGCAACAGACAGAAATCATGGCTGATCCAATGTAGAGAAAGTGAGACGTGGAATTTCGTGCAGGTCACCTAGTCTTTGGATTCCCTTGCGAGATCCAAGAAGCAGCCTTGTCGTCTGGCTCGACTGAGGCGTCGTTTTTGCTATCATTCATTTTACATGTCATTGCGTTGAGAAAACGCACACTGTGACTTCTCGAGAGTGCGCTCGTCTGCCAGTGTCGGTCCTGCTTGGTGGCTGATGGACTGCACTTTGCTGTGCCATTATTGCCTACCGCTCAGCCCAAGAGGCAGTAAAATAGCCTATTACAGTCGTTTCCAGGTCGGCAGCAGTCGTCCACTCGCAGTGACTACTCGTTGATCGGAAGGCTGCGATGCTCAAGTTCGTGTCGTTCATCTGCCCGCAACAGGGAAGCCGGGCATGCGCCAGAGTGTATCGTTCCGGTATGACTTCCCATTGCCTATAATCGATCCACTAGAGACGACCCTCCTGGCTTCCGGCGAAAATGGTGCAGCGGGTGGATGCGCACTTTCATTGTGGGACCCAAAGCCTTGATAAGGATCGCACAGAAAGCATGCCATCTATGCTGTATGCCTACATGAGGAACTTGGGCGTAGGCTTTTTGGACGACTCAGGAGCCTCTGAAGACTCAGTGCGCGCTCGTATTTCTTCCCTCCGCCGCCTCTCTTCTGCTTTTTCAGCGCGCTTGGCTTCCTTCTTCGTGCGGCTCTCCAACAGCATGTCAGTATTCTCCAGCTCTTCCATAACCTGTGCCCACTCCTTCTCCTGCTCCGGATCGCCCGTGCCAAGCGCCTTTTTCACATCAAACTCCTCTCCATTGCGCACTCTGCTCACCACGCCGCGCAGCAGATCCAGCTTTGCATCGGTCTGACGTGAAAAGTTGAGCATCTCTCGCCGCAGCGAAATGATGTTGATGGCATTCGAGCCTACTACGATGCCAAGCACGAGTAAGATGATGCCTGCCCTCCGCTCTTCGGCGCCTACATCCCGTCTCCTCGCGCGTTCTGTGGCTTCTTCCTCGCTGGTGGATCTGCGCAAGAAGCGTGGCACCAGCGAGGTCCAGAAAGAAGTGGTCGCGATTCGGGGCATTCGATCTTCGGTTGATAGCAGGCTCGCCGTTGCTGTGTAGCTTCGTCGACTTGCCCTCCCATTTCGTGTCCGTGTCCATGCACTCGTGCCAACCTGCCGTACCATTCCATTCGGTCTCGACAATGCCAGTGCCATAGTTCCTGTCGCGGACCGTGCGTGGTAGCCCCCGAGGGCAAGTCCTTCGTCTGGAATTGCACGCAGACGGGAGACGGTGGTGGATGGTTTTCAGCCGGCCCGGCCCGGATCGGTCGCCCTTGACAACGCGGCGCGGCTTTGCAAGACAGACGCGAACAGAATGCGTCTCCATCCATGTGCTGTCCTGCACCAAGAGCTATGCTTCAGATGCTGTAGGCGGCTGGCTCTCATGGCGACGACCAACGACCTCGACCTGGCGAGAGGCGTGAAGGAGGCCGTGTCTGCTGGACGTGCGACGTCTGCGACCGTGTCAACACTCCACACGCTGCTCGGCACGCCAGCACCGCCTCCCACATCAACATCTACATTGCCAAGTTCCACGCGGACCGCGAAGGCATCGAATGCGCCCAGAGCAACAAAAGCAGCCTCCCCGTCTGCTATCAGCAAGGCGACTGTTCACGTGCACGAGGATGCCTCGCAACTGCTGGGCCCCCAGGAACGATACGCGCTCGCCGCCGAAATCGTAAATATTTCCCTCCAGCTTCTCAGCGATGCCGCCAAATCGCCCCCGCCATCCTCGCCACCACCATGTGCGGCCGACCGAGCTCTGCAGGTTCGTGCGGGCAATGCCACTCCTGTCACGCTCGCGAACCCGGAATCCAAGCACGATGAGCTACATTCTCCTGCAAAGCATCGAGCGCAGGGCCTGTCTGAAAAGGCCACCGATTGGACGGCGACAGCACAGTGCTCGAGGCTGGCCTTTGCTCACCTGCGTTCCGTCAATCCCGACACGTTTGGCGTGAAAGACCTGCCAAGGCTGCAGCTGGAGAAGGGCATGCTAGCCCTGGCCGGCAAGTTGACTCTTCTCCATCTCGACAGCCTTGCCGCAAAGGAACTTTCCGCAGCAAAGAAGCGCTTCCTGCTTCTGCAGTCGGCACATCAGCGCACAGTCGATGCGTCCAGCAAGACTGCCGACAAGCACGGCTTGGCCAGCCTTCTTCAGGTCGACATTGATGCTCAAGCATTTCCGGAATTGCTGCCGTTGCTGATCACATACCATGCGAATGTGCTGAAAATAATGGCCAGGTCGCGCACGCCAGCCATAATCGAAGAAGCACTGCAATACCTGCAAATAGGCTCACCATCTTCACCATTTGAAACCATCGTGGCACAACAACGCGTCGACGGCGATCAGGGAAAGGCTGTCCGCCACTTGGGAAACTTGTATTGTGCTATCGTACGGCTGTGCCCGAGCGCCTCGAGCTCCAAAGACGATGTAGCATGCAGCCGCGCCAAAAGTCCTTCGCCATTGACCGCCTTTAAACTCCAATCTCTGGCTCTGCGCATACGTCAGGAGATGTGGAACATTGCTGGTCATAAGATAGATGTCGAGAAGGACCTTGCGGAGCCGTTCAGTAAAGCTTTGGGCACTTTCATGCGAAGGAGTTCCGCAGCTGCCGGCATCACAGAAGCATACAAGGTATGCAGTGATTCGCTTGTTGAACTTGGACTGGCAACACACAAGGAGACGAGTTCTGCCATGTCCGCAGTCTCGAGAGTCTTGTCAACACTTGCCGAACAAGCTGGCCTAATAGATCAGTCTCTTGCTCATGCAGACCAGGCGCTAGCCCAATGCTCAGGGCTCGGAAACCGCCACGCTCGATATCTTGCTGCCCTCACAAGGACTCTGTGCCTGCGTTCGCCTGAGTCATTGTCGAAGGGCGCTGCCTCTGACCTGGAGGTAATTGAGCAGGGCCTGTTACAAAGTCTCAGCGGCAGCGGGACTGATTACGAGATGCTTCTGACGGAGCTCGACCACCTCATTTCGTCAAGGCCGAAGGGTTGCAATGAAGAAGTGCGACACAGACTACAATCCTTGGGGAGGGCGGCCGGCGCATTTGCATCCCGTTTTGCGAAGTGTTGTCCGGGAAAGCAGACAAAGACTGTGACAGACCTGTTGGCGCTCGCACTCTACCATAGCAAAAGCAACGAGGAACTGGTCTCCTGGACGAGCCAAGACACTATCAAAGCTCTTTTACAATCTGGTGCTCTCACGATTGTTTGCGAAAATGCTACCACTCAGCCCGCGTCACGAGCATGGTCATCAACCACGGCTGTTCTAGCGTTAAGCAGAGCTCTCAAGGGTTTCGTGCTCAGATCACTCGCCTCTGGTTCTGCAAAGGAGAGCTCTATGCTTTTCGATGAGGATCATCTTTCCCCAGACGAACGTGGAATCTTGCTCGAATGGCAATTGCGATGCGCCATCGACGTGGCACAGAAGCCGAAATATCATGAGGCTCTTGCAAAGCTGATACCAAGCGCTTTGAGAGAGTTGAGCCAGGTCTACACATGCGCCACTTTTCCAATACGCCGGGCAAGGATCGCCGCTCTGGCTCTGCGTGTTCACGAGCAACATCCTGGCCTTCTTGCTCCCCATGCCCTTCAGGTGTTCAAGAACGCGGAGCTTTTCGACGAAGATTCTTTGGCAAGTGATCAGGGATTGCAGTCCTATGCTTTAGATGTCAAGACCTCGATAGCAGTGTCGCAAGCCCTGCGTCAAGGTCAAAAGTCCAGCTGTACCCTGAAGAGTCATTTGGCGACATGGCAGACGTTGATCGATGGGGCGCGAGATGCGAAGACCCTAGAAAAGTCCGTTGAATGTCCTACGACTCTGCTGGCTCAGCTCATCGCTGTGTACGACTACTTTGGCATGCTTGCAGACGACGAGGCAAGATTGCCAGTTGCCAGAATGATATCGCAGATCGAACTGTTGTGGGGTGCAGATGGTACCAGGTGGCTCAATAGTCTTGTTCGCTCGGCGTCTGCCTACCTCTACCTGGGATACGCTGAAAAAGCGGGCGAGATTTTCGAAACCGCTAGCAAAGCGGTTGAAGGACACGAGACATTGGAACTGGAAGCTCTCGAGTTTCAAATCCATCGAGCTGAATATCTCTTGGCCATCGATAAGTTGGGAGACTGTCAAGCCGCGCTACAGACTGCTGCGCAGGCTCGAGAAATCTTGCAGCCCAAGAAGATTCGACAACAGCAGAGCACGGCCTACAGATTACTCCATGTCCGAGCGTGGCTTCTCCGATCAAAGTACTTACTTGCTAATGGAAATGCGAGTGGCGCTCTCAGTAGTGCAAAGCATGCCGTGAAGGTAGTCAACGGAATCTGGGCAGCTCTCGAACGCAAGGATCCTGTTATCGATCGGTGCTCCGTAAAGGATGTATTAGAGACCACTGATAATGATCGGAGCCCAGTAGACAGCTTGACCCGAGGAGTAAGCAAGCTCAACTTGAAATCGTCCGACGAGGAACGTGCCGCAGCTGCTCAGGAGCCAAGAGGTGCCGCATTCTGGCCGGTTGTGCGACTGATGTGCGATACGCTCACCCACCTCTGCGACGTGTTCGTAAGACATGGAGTCTTCAATGAAGCCAATTGTGCCTCTGAGAAGGCAGTGAAGACTGCCAGCGCTGCTGGGAATTGTGAGTTGTCATCGCGAGTTCGATCTCACAGAAGCATCTTTCTAGCTACTACCGGGAAAGTCGAAGAAGCTGAGCTATGCCTTGCTCGCGATCAAGATAATAGCACTTCGCTTTCGCTGCTGGCCAAGCTTGAACGGTTCCGTGCACGAGCGGCCATTGCTCTCAAGCATAAAGACATGCAGGACGCCGTTAAAAATTTGAGCGAGGCCGAAGCTCTCGTCAACGAAACACCACACGAAGGACGCCTATCCAGATTGGAGCTTTTGGCCACTGTTGGAGAGGAGCCTCCTGTCGCGGAACCGGGTACCAAAAGTGCTAAGCATCCTGCAAGGAGTAAGCCAGCGTCAGGAGCCAAAGGCAGATCATCTGCGCCCAAAGGAATCCTCAAGAAGTCTGGAGCGACCAAGGCCACGACGAGCGACAGGACTGGTTCCAGAATTGTTCAGAATGCGGTCCTGACTGGTACGTTTTACATGATTCAAAAAATTGGCCTTGACCTCTCGTGCCAGAAGGCTGTCATGTGTTTCAAGCTCGGACTTGAAAACAAAACCGATCTTGCACGAGTGGCTGAGCTGTGCAAACAATTCTCAAATGAGCCTACTCGATGCCTCATCGAATATTTGATGGCAATGCGCAAGGTCTCTTGTGCCCTCAAATCCGATTTTTCGTTCAACGTATTGCCGGAATCGACGCTGTCATTTCCGGCAATCCAGCTTCCCGATAGACGGCTGTCCGCAATCAACGCATTTGTGTCACCGGCCGCGAAAACAGCTAAGAATCTCAAAATCGCCAAAGTCGGCAGCAAGAGCACTGCGAGGGATGAGTCGCTTGGCCGGCTTCTTCTTCAAGCCAGACATTGCATCAATGTTGAAAGCATACAATCGAGAGCGATTTCCACATCTGAAGCTCATATGCTCTACTGCATGCTGTCCGATGCGTCATTACTGCTATCGGCTACCTCAGCAGCTGAGGCTGCAAAGGCGCTGCATCCTGTGCAGGAAGCTATGAGCATCGAATTAGCCCGCATGTACGCGACAGAATGTCAACTGAGTGTTGCCAAGCTCGATGTGAACATGAAACAGGTGTCGGACCTTCTCGCATGGCCTCAGCCGGAAGCAAAGGCAAAGCATGCGGTGCTCACGACACGTTCATTCAAGCAAGATTATGTGGATGTCCTGCCAAAGGCATGGACTGCTGTGTCTCTCAGCCTGAATCAAACATGCGATGAGCTCTACATCGTACGCTACCGCCACGGACAATCGCCTTTAGTATTACGGCTGCCATTCTCACGACACAGATCTGAGGATAGCGAGGAAGGGCAGTTCCATTTCAATGCTGGTAGAGCAGAACTGCAGGACATCATACAGCTTTCCGACTACACCTGCCACAACTCAATAGACACAAGCATCAAAGGAGCCAAGACCAAGTGGTGGAGTGAGCGCGAAGCGCTTGATAAGAGGCTACACGAGCTATTGATGAACATGGAGAAGCACTGGCTTGGCGGATTCAAAGGCGTATTCTCTCAGCACGAACATGATAGCGAGCAAGTGGACAAGTTTAAAATGGCACTTGACTCTGTGCTGGCGCGACATTTGCCATCGCGGCGGCCAGGAAAGAAGAGCTTTCCAAAGCTGGCTCTCGACGATCAAGTTCTGGAACTCTTCATTGGTCTCGGTGCCGACCAAGATGGTGAGGTGGATGTCGACGAAGCGCTGCAAGACCTTCTATATTTCGTCGTTGATATTCTTCAATTCAACGGCGAATGCAATGCTTATGACGAAATCGACTTCGACAGCATGGCGATTGAAGTGCTCGACGCACTGCGAGACTACCACGACGGCGCCGATGGGATTTCAGATGGCGCGCACCTGATCCTCATACTCGACCGTCGCCTGCAAATTTTTCCTTGGGAGAGTTTACCGTGTCTCGAAAATGCGAGTGTTAGCCGAGTAGACAGCATGGTCACACTTCGTGACCGCATCACTCAAATGCGAAGTCAGGGAGCTGGTATTATTGGTGATTACACAGTATCGCGTCGTTCAGGCAGCTATGTCCTAAATCCATCTGGCGATCTCAAGGACACTCAGGCTGCACTTTCGCCTGAGCTGGAAAAGCTCGCTGGGCTCGACGGCCACGATTGGACATCATTCGTAGGCCAGGCGCCAACAGAGGAGCAGTTCAAGAATGCTTTGACGACTTCTTCAAGTCTGCTGTACTTCGGGCACGGTGCAGGCTCACAGTACATTCGCTCTCGTGCGATCAAGAAACTTGAGAAATGCAGCGAAGTTGTGTGGCTTATGGGCTGTTCGTCAGGAGCCGTGACAGAGTATGATGAATTGGAAGCGTTCGCTGTACCTCTAGCGTACATGCAGGCTGGTGATCGAGGTAGCTCTGCTCAGGAAGTTGACGAAGAATTGGGCCGCTCCAAATGTATGGCTGTGGTTGCCACGCTGTGGGATGTAACAGACAAAGACATCGATCGCTTCTCACTGGCTGTGGGCGAAGAATGGGGATTATGGTCACCGCCGGCGGCAGCGACTGCGCTTCCTGCAAAGACACCAAGGAAGCAGAGAGGTGCTGTTGCGGCACCATCGACACCGGAAAAGTCAAGCATAGTGCCGAAAACGCCCAAGGCAAAGAAGACGCCTGCTCCGGCGCGAACTCCAGCTAGGAGTCGGAGTCGTGCGAGAGCAGATGGACCAGCGAAGAAGCAGAGCTTGGTGCAGGCGGTAGCGAGAAGCAGAGACGCATGCTATCTGAGATACCTGAACGGGGCTGCGCCTGTCGTGTATGGCGTGCCTGTATACTTGGGTGAATGAGGCACATACTTGTTACACGTCTACCTATTCAGCGCCATTTTAGCAAGGCGTTGGTGGTTGACGATATTTGATTTGGAAATGGAAGTGGTGTGGTAATAGTCATGAATCTGTCCACTGCGGGTTTTCGCATGGGCTTTGATGCACCTAATAAGTATGCATATCCGGATCGTAGTGAGCATCGTCTGAGAAATTCCTGGTCTCTATGCCCGATGCTTCTGCTGTAAGTGATTGTGATTGTCCGGCCTTGGATGCTTTGCAAGGAAGGCGTCATTTCCTCGTACGAGCTAGCTGGCTGCTACATAGGGAGGGACAGGGACTATAATTTGAGGATCAGGCGCAAGCAAGAGCGACTCCTTCATTCATCTGCTATTCTACTACGTTACAGTGCCTTGCTCGGTCTTCGCTTCCCACGAGCATTATTACAGTCTTGTGTCGCACGAGTACGAGGTCTCGACCGAGAGGGATCAGCATGCTCGTCATGGCAATGCCTGTGATCAGGCAGCGAGATGCCAGCCAGGGGTAGTCACAAGGCTGCGGTGTGATATACGCACGCCGCCACAACCGGTCGTCGCCCATCGCGATTGACCAGGAGTGTTCGGTGTTCGGTTCCGGTTGTGTGGCAGGCATTTCTTTGGAGCTAGTCTGCTAGATCCTTAGCCTTGCCGTCCATGGACATGGATATGGATGGTTCAGCATGCCTTGTGCCTTCTCCCCTAGGTTTATAAATTCGGAGGCGAATTCTTTTCTATATCGAAGTTTGTAATAGAAGATTAGTAGGTTAGGCTCTCGTCTCGTAGGCGTTACTAGTATAGAGTTAACTTCGGCTTTAAGCGCTCGTATATAGTTTCGTATTTAATGCCGAAAGGCCGAATAGCGAGAACGCGAACCGTTGCCTGACCAGAACTGTACTCTTCTAACAACTTCATTTTTGGGTATTGCCATCATCACCACCTTGCGGAATTTGGGTGGCGGTGGCGGTGGCGTTGTTCATCTCTGATTACTATAAACTTCCGGAGAAGACGCGCAGAACAAGGAGGAGCTTTTCGATACCGCTCGCCGTGCTTGGCCCCATGTGCGGCTTTTTGCACCAGGTCCAGCGACCCCATGTCCAGCGCATCTGAGAAACATCATCATCACGCGGCCGACTCCGGCAGCGAGAGACACCCGGACTCCCTGGTGAACAACGATGGTGCCGAGAAGGCTCTTCCCGTCGATGGAGACGCTGGTAACCACAGGCACGTCTCGGAAGCGCAACACACTTCACCATCATCATCGCCTGCACAGCAACCTGCCGCCGCGCCAGCTGCTCCAGGCCCAGTACCAAATGGAGGCGTCCAGGCTTGGCTTCAGGTGCTCGGAGGATGGATGTTGTTCTTCAATACATGGTAAAGAATGAATACTTCCACAGAACCGGAGATCATTACTAACCACACAACTCCATAGGGGCATCCTAAACACATTTGGCGTATTCCAAACATACTACGAAAGCGGCGCCCTGTTCACAGAGACCTCGTCGAACATATCATGGATTGGCAGTATTCAAGCATTCATGGTGCTGGTGGTCGGGGCTTTTGTCGGACCCATCTATGATCGAGGGCATCTGCGAGCTCTCCTCCTGCTCGGCTCATTCATGGTTGTATTCGGCTTTATGATGCTCAGTCTATGCACGGAATTCTGGCAATGCCTGCTCGCTCAAGGCTTTGTCGTTGGCATCGGCGGCGGGTGTCTCTTCGTACCATCTGTCGCCATTCTGCCTACCTACTTCTCCACCAAAATTGGCGCCGCCATCGGAATCGCTGCATCGGGAAGTTCTATGGTGAGCATATACGTATGACTTGCATGGAGACAAGGCTAGTGGCTAACATCTCTTCCAGGGAGGCATCATCTACCCCATCATGTTCTACCAGCTGATCAACGTCGACCGCATTGGTTTTGGATGGAGTGTCAGGATTCTTGGATTCACTGCTCTTGCTACTCTTCTCATCCCCATCTTCATCCTCCGACAGAGAGTAAAGCCACCGAAGCCTCGCTCTCTGATTGACTGGACGGCTTTTAAAGACGTACCATATGTAAGTCACAACACGAGCCGGACATTCATCATGCACATACAAAGCTGACCCTGGTAGATGGTCTTCGTCTTCGGAACCTTAATAGGCTTCATCGGCCTCTATGTCGGATTCTTCTACATCTCGTACTACGGCCAGGCCAGAGGCTACACGAACGAGAGCCTTTCCTTCTACTTAGTCCCCATCCTGAACGCCGGCTCTGTCTTTGGCCGAACAATCCCTAATATCCTAGCCGACAAAGTTGGTCCTGCAAACGTCATCACTCCAGGCGCTCTCATCGTGGGTATTGTACTCCTCTGCTTCATGGCCGTCCACAATGCCGGCGGCATCATCGTCACCACCCTTCTCTTCGGCTTCTTCTCCGGCATCTTCATTGCGCTGCCGCCCGTCCTGTTTGTGGCCCTTACGACAGATAAATCCAAAGTCGGCACACGTATCGGAATGGGATTCGCTTTCGTCGGTCTTGGTGTGCTTGCAGGAGGCCCCGGTGGTGGTGCCATTCTGGGCACTGGCTCCGGCAACCCGGCCGACTTGCACTGGACCGGCGCGTGGACATATGCTGGAGTCATGTCGATAGGATCCAGTATTATCTTCATTGCCGTAAGAATTATGATCGGAGGGACAAAGCTTGGGGTGAAATGTTGAAGACATCGACAGATTGTGCTTACAACAGAAAAGCATGGCATTGTAAGTAATAACAGCGAAGCGGCATAGATGATGGTTTTGTAGAGTTGCGAAGATGTCTGGGGTAATATTCTACGAATTGATTGACACTGTTTGCCCTTGTCACGCAGGATACAGCCATCTCGTCTTGTTGTAATAATGCAGTCCGTACACTCCGGGCAATGGTCTCCGTGTTCGAAGAGCGCACAATGGGCTTCAAAGAGATAGATAGCCTCTTGTTACACCTATCCATATACGCTCATCTCGTGCCCTACCTGCCTAAAACGTGGGAACCTAACAATGTACTGCAGTTAGCATACGAGGGATCGCACACAGCGTTCGCGTAGTTAGCTCTATACTAGCTGTATAGCTAGGCAAGTCTGTTCTAGCGCTAGGGCAAGAAAAGGTATATATCTCTTTTTCCAACGTCGTCGATGCTATCGAGATATCGCGCTTAGAGAAGAACGGCACCCCGATCTGTACCTCGGATGCATGTAATAAATGCCAACTGGGTGCTCGGGGAGCATACAGTGTGTATATGTGTGGTAGAGTATGCGTTGTAAGCAAATTCGCCTATGCGCGGAGCGATGGAGCCGCGCGCATGCACGAGGAAGAGGAGGGTACATGTAGGCTGTATAATAAGCAATATGTATTGTCATCATCATCGAAAGACGAAGATACTTTCTTTCCTCCGAATCCTCCCTCCTGCGATTCTGCACTCATCATTATGAGATCTTGGCCGGGCCGGGAAGTCTGGTCGGGCGCGGGGCGTTTTGCGGTTCTTCTTCTTTGCATGTTCCAGCATGATGATGATGATGATGAGGGACGTGGTTCTGCGATTTCGAAGACGCAGACTTCGGAGCTTGATGATGAGCTCCATGTTGCAATGCAGGTTGCCAGCCGTCATGTGTCATCATCAGGGCGCTCTGCTTTCATGCAGCCCTACAACAAGGCCACGGGCGAGTGTGACGCATTCAGTGCTACACTGTCGGTGCCGAACTTGTCGCAACGACGGGAGGATCACGATGTACGGTCGCAAAGTGTCATCCGCGAGCCTCTTCCATGGGCCTGGGTCAAGGGAAACGGAGAGCCTGCCTGCTGTGACCGCCCGGTCGCAACACCAAACATGAAGCAGCGCAGCATCAATTGGTGGCTTGGACGTGTGGCATGTCGAAGCAGGTACGTATCCTGACCTGGCCGGTCAAGAGCTTCGCAGTAGCTCGGCTTGTACTTTCCTGGTGCATTGGTGTTGAGAGGGGAGGGGTGTGAAGCAGTGAAGGAAGCCCTGACGCCTTTGCGGGAGGATTGCCGCAGGATTACGCTAGCCTCGCCTAGCCTGCAGATTCGTGTGGCTCGCGCTGGCGTGCCTGCGACCAGCGATAGCGATGCCACTTTTCGAGTCAAGGATTGTTCTGTACATACGGTCATGGAGCCGCCAGAGACCCTGCAAGCAAGCAAGCAGCAGGGATGCCAACACCGACTTCACTCGGGACGAGTATATGAGCGTGCACGGCAGGAGCCAGTGAGAGAGCACGCCATGGCGGTGACAGAATGTGCCGCGTGTATCAGCTTCTCACGTTGGTGTAATGCTTTCACGATTCTCGAATTGAGGCCGCCGCGCTTTGCGAGCACTCATGGGCCGCCTGGATGGTGAACTCATCTACATAGCAGACTTACGCGGATTCGGCAATGGGGAAAAGTGCCGTCTGACTTGGAGCCATCCATCTCACGTTGGCTTCACGTGGTGGTGCGATGCTGCATGTTGCGGATGAGAAGGCAAGTCATGATTGGGACACGTTGGCTGCATATTGGAATGAGTCGGGGGGAATGGTGCAAGTAAACCCATGTCGCTCACTGACATGCCCACGTGCTCGGCAGGTGACGGTGACGGTGACGGTGACGGCGAGAACTTCGCCCGAGCTTACGGGCAAGCACGGCCGTAGTGCTGGGCTTTGTCAGAAGATCCACTCTGGGCCTATCTCGAGCAGAGGGCGAGCCCTGACGAACTAGCATCGTCCATGTACGTACGTAGTTCGGTTCACGATAACATGTCGATCAGAGGGAAGATAGTTATTGTCGTGTGCTCGCACGGAAGATCAAGACCAACAATAACGATCGACGTCTTTGGTTTCAAGAGCGCCCTGGCAAGGTTGTGGATACTTGGGATAGAGTTAGGCTACCGATTGGGTTGGCCGGCTTGCACAGGACGGTCGTCGGCACCGTGCCCGTGCTGGCCTGTGCCACACGCTGTGGGCAGTGGAGGAGAGCAGAGCAGATGTCGAAACAAAGAGGAGCAGTCCCTTGGTCGCGTTAAAGTAGTATCCTGACCCAGCAAGTACCGCCAGCCTGACCACCGGCGACGCCTTTAGTTTGTGTGAGGAGGTCGGCGCTGCCGAATGCACTTGCGGGGAGCGGGCGCCACTATTCTAGCCCACGAGGCAGGCATCCTTCCTTCCAGGAAAGCTTGTACCGTGTGGCTTATGAATCTCCACAATCCGCGCAAGGATCGAAGGGCGGCACAAGCGAAATCGTGCTGACTGTCTTCTGAAGGTTCGACCATCGCTGCAATCATACCACGGTCCATGTCTATCTAACCGTACAGTAGTCGCGATTTTTGTGGTCGAGCACGAGAAGGTGTCAAAGCCATTGCTGTCACCGCACGCGAAACTATCCCAAGGATTCCCCATCTCGTGCAAGTTCGTAGATCGGCGTCGTGGAGATCCTTCCCGTGGGCCAGCCCCTGTGACCAGACGTGGCCCCCAAGATGTGTCTGTTACTCAGGTGTATGCGAGCAGGATCAACGTCGTGGAGTAGGACGAATGGAAAATGCCCCGACGAGCCTCTCAACGTCAGCACCAGCGACACTGTTGCTGGAGATGGCGAATCCTCCTAGCCCTAGCCGCTGCCATTCCTGGGCTCTTGTCTACCAGCAGGCACCTTTATTAATGCTCCGTGTTGCATGTGGATAGTGCGCTAAGTGCGGTGATTGCGAGTCCGGCTCATTCGCCCTACCCGTGATTCCTGATCAGCTCCTGCAGGATTGAATGGCTTGCCAATCTGCATGGATATGACACTCGAGACAATCTCGAAGTGTGATTGGGCCTGTTCTTCTGTGTGCCGGGATCTGCTCACCGGTGCTTGGACCTGCTCGCTTCTGCAATCACATGCCTGCCCGTTCGGAGAAGGCATCGCGATTCATGACGATACAAGTACCACAGACCTACCGTGCAAAGCGTGCATCACCGATGGCTGGCAGTGCAATCCAACAGAGCTTGACCGGAATGCCTGGAGTGACGTCGAAGCACACCGAGTGCTCTGCGGTGAGGCAGACCACCAAGCCTCGATCCGACACGCAGTCCAGGCCGGGAATGGCTAGCAGATTACCGCAAGAGGCAAAAGGCGTGCATAAGCGACGCGAAACACGCCCGAAATAGACTTCTCACGCAGATGTAGACCGCTCAGCCACGTCTGCCGCACGAAACGAAACAATAATGCATACAGCGCAGTGCAGTGCAGCAGCGGACGGGTCTTCCGACTGTGATCGAATCAAAGCGCGCATCTGCAGCCGGCCAGCATGGGTCACAGTGGTGAGGTCGACCCGCCTTCATTTGCGGGCGTGCGTGGGGAGGTGCTGGTGCTGTGTGCCCAGGTCACACATCTCATCATGCTCGATCAAGCCCTATCCGCTTACATACGCTTAGAATAATTCGGCGCCGCTCCACCATCGCTTGGGCGATCGCTACTGGCCTATGGCCCATTAATATTGCGCTGCTTGCTGGGAGTCTACGCTGGCCGGCCTGCGATGTTCCGCTGCGAACGGAAAGCAAGGCTGGCCGGCGGGCTGTCAGACGCCTTCGGCTACCGTTTGGCATGCCGCGAGCAGCAGTACAGTACCGTACCATTCTGCTGCTCGGGTACCACGAGAGGCCGGCGACGCTAGCCGACGGACCAAAAGGGAAACTGTGGCACGGTCGTTTGGCCTGCATCCTGCGCATTGCATTCACCGTACCGTACCGTATGCGCCATGCCATGGCCCATGCCATCATGCAGGGGCCCTAGCGGAGGAGAGGCACACCCTAACGATGTCTATGCATCCTGCTCTCACCTCGCGCCAGACCCGTCTGCCTCACGGCACGCGTGGCTCGTGCTGCGCATCTCTGATATTCTTATACATAGCCTCTTGACTTCGCCTCCAATGGAGCTCGCGTCTAATTCAGGCCTACAACTCGCACTCCTTTGCATCATCAGACAACATTAACGGCCATTCATCTTCCCTTGACGACCACCTAAGCCAGGCTTCGACACACATTGCGGGCTTCAGGTACCCGCGCGGATATCCTTACACCTCGCTGCGACTACCCAGCATATCGAACTCAATACCACTTTACAAGCGAGCAGCCTGCCGAAGACCAACACACTGTGGCGCTTTGCAGATTGCGATTCAAGGAGGAATAGAACGTTAGAAGGATCGCGGAGAGTCACTGGGTAAGCAAGCTCGTCATCTTATACACCATTCCGTCCATCCTAATCCCTCGAGCAGCTCTTTCGCTCCCAACAACACCTCTTCTGCCTGTCTACTGCTCATGCTTTGAGCTGTGGCCATGACGACGTTCGCAGACTATCCCGCGCATACCATGGCCTCTAACGACTTCACCCTATACCCATATCCAGACTCTTGGAATCAGGAGCAGCATTACTTATCAAGTGCTTCCTACGCCGACCAGTCGTACCTGACCCCAACCTCATTCGACTCGTTTCCATCACAGCAAAGCTTCGCACTAGTGCCGGACCAGTACAACTACTCAGGCAACCAAGCAATAAGTCGATCGAAGCCGAGTCCTTATCACTCACCCGCGAATTCCGCCTTCGAATACCAGCAACCACCCCATCTCTCATCAACTTCTGACTCTGGCGCATCCGTTCATAGCACAATATCGTCGGCGATAGGATCACCTTCTGCTCAAGCACAGAGCAACGAGTGGAACCACCACCAGAGCATGGACGTCTTCCCAGAGATCGTTCAGCAACACGATGGTAACATCTTCGCGACGACTGGCTTCGAGTATGCATCGATCCCAGTGACTGACAAGGGCTGCGTTGGTGAGTTGACAGCCATTTCTTCATCTGACGACTCCTCGCTTCCTCCTTTTCTTTCTTTTCCTCCAGCATCTTCGCGTCCAAAGCGAATCAAGGACAGGCTGAAATCGCCGATTATTACGCCTCCAGCGCGACAAGCGAAAGCGTCTTTCTTTTCTCAATCCAGTGGTTATTTCGTACCTCCTCTTGGATCATCTTGTCTGTTTCACCCACAAATTGCGATCTCTTTCCCAGCATTTGCAAGTTACATGACATCCCGTTTGCTAACTTTCAGCTGCAGACCCGTCGTTGATCCAGCCATTCTCACCAACACAGTACACTGGTACTCAGTTCTCAGAAGTCCAGGGAAGAGTTCACTCGCCACAACCTCTGCCATATTCCGCATCTCCATTACCCACCAAGACATCTCTCCACAGCGAACGATCGCAATCCAGCAAGCCCCAAGGCTCAGCGTCTCCATATGCTCAACCGCAATCATGGCAACAGCCATACCCACAACACCAGACATCCCGGCGGCCGTCCATCTCTTCTGTCCACTCTCGGCACAGCCAACATTCTCTCGGCTCCGATGACTCTAACAAGGGTCTCTGCCCGATCGCGACATGTGGCAGACACGTCAAGGACTTGAAGGCACATATGCTCACACATCAAAATGAGAGGCCAGAGAAATGCCCGATTCCAACCTGTGAATACCACACCAAAGGGTTTGCGCGGAAATACGACAAGAATCGCCACACTCTCACTCATTACAAGGGCACTATGGTGTGCGGTTTCTGCCCTGGAAGCGGCAGCTCGGCCGAAAAGAGCTTCAATCGGGCAGATGTGTTCAAGAGGCATCTAACCTCGGTGCACGGCGTTGAGCAGACACCACCCAATGCGAGAAGGAAGAGTCCGTCCACAGCTGGCAAGAAGCCCTTTGGTGGTGCGCGCGAAGTCTCTGGCATGTGCTCCACCTGTGGCAACACTTTCGCAAGCGCTCAAGACTTTTACGAACATCTGGACGACTGTGTGCTCCGAGTTGTTCAGCAGGCAGACCCAAGCGAGGCCACGAACGAGAAGCTCCTCACGGAGATCTCGCAAGACCAGCAAGTCCAGGAGACATTGGAAAAGCACATGCTTCCCACAAATGTCGACTACGACGCTCCTACCTCCTTTGACGATGAAGAGGAAGAAGAAGATGACGAGGAAGACGTTGACGACGAGGATGCAAACGACACCACCTACGGCAGCCGGAAGGCTGGTAAAGGTGGCAACAAGTCGCGCAACCGCGTCGCAAGCAGTGGTGCCGTCCAGAAGCCAAAGAAAGGCTTGACCTTATCCAAGAACGGTGTTCCACTTGCCGGTGCCTTGACAGCAAAGGGCAACAAGCGTAGGAAGAACTACCCACTGTCCTGGGGCGCTGCTCCCGACAAGATGCGAATGAAGAAGCGTGTCATGTGTGTCTTCGATGGTCAGCGTCGTCTATGGAAAGACGATATGGTGAGTTTGCAATTCCTCTCACATTCTGAGATTCAATTAGTAATATCATTTCCAGATGCTTGACGCCGACCACGAAGTTCGCATTCCACTCGCCGAGAACAGCCGCGCATGGGTCAGTGACCTCGACGTCCAAACTCTCCGCCGAGCCGAGGGCATTTTGAACGCAACAGATGAAGAGAAGGGTCCTTGGATTCAGGACGAAGCTGAGCTTCAGAGTCTGATGGACTCATGATGGATGATGACGACCACACCACGCTCCGAGTGAGCGAGCGAGCGAGCTCTGTACTTGTATACTTCTTCTTTCTTGGCGCATGATACCACCACCACCACCACCACATGAAGATGACGATGTCGACATGATCTGAGCGGCATACAGACAGACAGACAGACAGCATGATGATGATGAGAGAATGTTCTTTTTAACGACTACGCGAGGATATCCAAACTCAAATGAGTAGCAGCTTTATATATATTTTTTTTTCAATCGGAGCACATGTGCTGGCACCAAAAAAGACTCTTTTTTTTTTCTCTTTTCAATCACTCTTGCTCCAAATTCTCACGTTCTCGTTCGTCACTGCCATTCATTGTCCGTGACATCGCTCATTCGCCTTGTAGTCGAGTCAATTCACGATGCCGAATCTATCATTCTGCAAAAAAAAGTCAACCGCGACAAGCTGACAGCGTCAAATCATGCCGAAGACTTCGTGCCCTATGAGATCAGACCCTTGAAAAAGCTCCAGCCTGATCAGAACGTGTCCCCGGTGCTTCAAGCGTGATTTCTCACAATATGTATGTATAGATTTGACTCCCGCCCGCTATGCCTTTCTCCAACAATTCCATACCCCTCAAATCCACATCCCCATCTGGAGTCCAACCTTCTCCAGCATATATATATATATACACCTCTCACCACACAAATTTCGGACATTGCCCTTTAATTATTACTATAACAATCTCGAACTCCAAGCCCGGCATCTCACAACCAGTGTGTACGACGAAGAACGAAGAACCAAAAAATAAGATTCCCTGCTCTCGTCCCAGTCGCGGAAATATTCTTTTGTCGATTGAATTGCGAGAAAACCACCTCACCTCCAAAGACAAAATTGATACACGTCGGCGGTCGCAGGTTTTTTTTTTTTTTTTTTTTTTTTTTTGTATGGGTGAGAGCCTGGACGACGTATGTATATCGACCTTTCTTCTTTCAAGAACGAGCGAAATTTTCAACGTTTCACGTCGACCCGGAGACCTTTTCGTTCACGTCGACCGATCGGTGAAAAGATCGACAAGTCTCACTGCTTCCTTTCTGCTTCCCGTCGGTAAAAAGCATCGTGCCAGCAGCCCTGGAAAGGTCGAGATCTGGCTGCACCGACTCCACCACCATGATGCTGAGCGAACCCCTTTTCGACATCACGAATCTCCATGATCTTAACACGGCTTCGATTATCCATGATGCGTGAGATCAACGAAGTCTATCCATTCTTGCACGAATGCACATCTCCATTGCATGACTATAGGCTCTCCAAGATGACCATGCGATCAGTACACCTTTTTTCTTGAATGGATAACATATTACTGCTAAGTTGCGAGACCTTCCGCGAGGCATGGTTACCTATGTAACGAGGAGCTCCCCTATAGCCACGCTCGTCACCTCTGAGACCGACGCTGTAAAATGATAGACTTACGCGGGCCGGCCATAGATCACAGCAGAACAGCTCTCGTGCCGCGAGCAACGACGAGCAGCCTGCTGACTTCTGATCGAGGCGAAGGAGTAAGATGATACGAGTAACCAGCTGAAAGGTGGTCGAACATCATTCCTGTGAAGAAATCGTATCGATATAATGGAGTTCATTCTCACTCGAACGATATCCAAGCTCTTGCTACTTCCAAGACACGCTCGTACAATGCTGCACTCTGCACAAATCAGAGCAGCTACCTACTGCGTCGTCAAGAACGCAATTACGCGATCGCTAATCAGCCTGGTCGCTGTCGCTGCTGATCATCTAACATGCAAAATATCTCTTCAATAGTTCATTAGTCTATACTCAGACTCAGATCCGGATTCCAGAAAAGATGCTTCATTTCTCCTCGCAACGCACCCAGGCTCTCACTGAGGCGGCTGTTGACTCTGCTGTGGAGATGCTCTTAGCGCTTCAGATTGCGATGAAGGAAATAGCGATGTGTTTGCGGGCTTCGGTTCTGGTGACGGCTGCATCTTCTTCACCGGTACACTCCCGACATTGAGCGCGGCTTGATGACCCGGACTGGGCGCTAACGGCATCGCAGGGGGCAAGACTTTCATGTCTCCAACACTCTGGGCCGACCCTGGTGGCACTGGGCTCTGGTCCTGTTTCTGTGGTATCGCCTTGGATCCTTCTGGCCACGGTCCGCTCATTCCATCAGCGGCGACAAGACTACCATTTGGACTGGCTCCTTGTGCGACATGGGCAGTTGGAGGATGCATTTGCGGAGTACGAACTTCAGCACTCGTATGGTGGCCGTTCGCGAGAGGTGCTTCGAAACTCTGCTGTGGAGTACGAGCCAGTTGTGGCGGATGTTGTAAGGGTGATGATCTTGGATACATGGTCGGCGGCTGCGGCTGCGGCGGCGGCGATGACTTGACTGGAGAGTGAGCGGAGGTCTGCGGAATAGGTGGTGGCAGGTTGGTTCGCGGGCTTTGTTGAAGATGCTGCTGCTGAGGGTGATATGGGTTTTGTGGTGGATAAGGTGGCGGCGCCTGCGGTGTTCTAGAGACCTGTGAATGTTGCTGAGGAGGTGATGAGGATGCAAGCCTTACTGCTGCCTTGACGGGCGACTGGAAACCGTTTGCCAGCTGGGATGATCCTTGCGAATTCTGGCCACGGGCGATAGTGTGTGGAATTTGCGGGTGATATTGAGGGTGTGGCTGTTGATGTTGCGGCGGATACTGAGATTGATGATGTTGTTGGTGCTGGGGTGCCGGATAGACGGTGCCTGGAGCGCGAGGGCTGTAGCCACTCGCCTGTTGATATGGCGGCGGTTGGGCATAATACTGATGATGTTGCGGATGCCCGCCAGAAGAAGCTACCGCTGCTTGGTGAGCATACTGATGCTGTTGTTGATGACCAGCCTGTGCCTGGCCTGCGTAGCCATTGGCTCTCGGCGAGGACTGATATCCGTGGATCGGAGGTGGGCTGCCATGCCAGTGCTGCGGGGGATGTTGAGATTGATTCTGAGGAGGTTGCGGTGCAAAGTTGCTGACCGGAGGCAACCTGTAGTTTGCTGGAGCTGCTTGTCCATTGGGATGCGGGGGGAAGCCCGACGGACTGGATCCATAGGTAAATCGTCCAGCGCCGGGGCTCGTATGGAGTTGCTGCGGTCTGGCTAGATGAGGTTGTGCACCGTTTCCGACTTGACCGTTAGCTGTTGAAGGACGGCTTGAGGCTTTGTGAGTCTCCGGGCTGGCACTGGTTCGATTGTGCAACTTCAGAGGCGGAATCTTAGGCTTCTTTGCGTCCTCTTCCTTTCGCTTGCAAGTGCTACAAATGAAGACGAAGTCATCTTGTTCGGCCTGCTTCGGCGTGAAGCCATGGCACTTGCTGTGTTGCCAGACGTTGCAACGGTCGCAAGCTATACTGTGGCTTCCGTCGTCCATGTTCTCGCCGTGCTGGCCGCATACCGAGCAATCGAAGTACCAGTTTCCGTCCTCTTCAGCCAAGCGTTCCAGCTCCTTCTTGTGCTGTTCGCGCTGGCTTTCGCGCTGGCGCCCAGAGGCACGCTTGGTGTCTTCATTGGGATTCTCGTCGAGGCCTTGAGACTCTGCACGCTCGGCTTCCTCCTCGAGCTTGGCGAGCTCTTCTTCGTGCAAGATGCGTTTGGCTTCGCGTTCGCGGACTCGTTGTTCCCGCGTGAGTCGTCTCGATTCGTGGCCCTGTCCTCCGTTCAGCGACTAATTACAACCCAGGCAATATTGCCACCACTTACATCTTCAATGCGTCTCTGTCTATCCTGCTCATCGCGAGCCATCTTCAGATCGCGTTGTCGTTTCTCTTCCGCTTCTCGCTCCTCGCGTTCTTTCGCTTCCTTATCAGCCTTATCCGCCAACCTACTCGACCGCTTTGCCGTAGCCATCTTCTGCAGATTCTCCAGTTCGCGGACTTTCTTGAGCTGCTTTTGGCGCAGCGCCTCGGCACGCTTCTCGATAATTGGAAGCACATCCTCCTCTATGGTCTTGCGAAGTTGCTTCTCGTTGAGATCTCGCGATCGAAAGATGCTAGCCATAAAATCTTGGTAGTCTTCGAGAGTGATAGCGATGCACTCCCAGGTCTTGCTTGTGAAGCCGTAGCCAGGTTCATCCTCATTCAAGATCTCTGAGGTGCCATTCGCCATCTCTGTATCCTCGATCGCAGTATCGTCCCCTTCGGAAGTCGCTTCAGGCTCGTCGTCTTCGCTATCGTCGATTTTCCGCCGCTTGCTCGCTCGTGTGCCTTTTCTCGGGGCAGGCTTTTTGGACTTCGGCTTTGCCTTAGTCTTTGCTTTCACCTTGGGCGTGGGAGGCGGGATAGGTTCATCTGCGCGACGATACAATCGATTGTCGTCCAAGACGTAGTAGGCGCGGTCCTCCTTGTCCCAGCCAAGGGGCTCCATTCGCCAGCCAGTGTGATTCTCGTCCTGCGCCATCATTGCACGGATGCGCTCTGCATTGCCCAAAGTCCATGTGCTAAGTTGCTGTAGTACTTGAATGCGGGTGTAGATGTCGAGATCGTTGAAGGGGACGGGATCTTCATCGTCGCCAAAGGGATTTCGCTGGGGTGCTTTGGCGAGATACTGGCGGCGCGTGTACTCGTCGAAGATGTCTGGCCTACAGAGAACTAGCGTCAGCCGTTCGTCTCATAGTATGTCAACGCCAATGCTGGGGACTGGACACTCACGTCAGACCGCGATGCGAGGATACAAATTTCAGCAGCTGCAGGCCGATTCGAGCGAGTTTCTCGCTCGGCGTGGGCTTGAGACATTCTGCTTCGAGGTCCTGCCATCACACATCCATCAGTATTCATCCACATCTCTTTCACATGCACGCACGCGGCGGATTGCGGATTGCGGAGGACTCGGGGGTGTCTGCGCCTGCGTACCTCAATGTCGAAGTCTTCGTCGATCTTGACCACATGCCCGAAGAGGAAAATATACTGCATCAAGCTGGCGAACTGCCACATATTGCGCAGCTTGGCCAGAGTCTCCCTATGCTCCTCCGGCACTGCTGGCTCGACAGGCAGGTCGAGCTCAGCATCATCGCGCGTGCGTTTGTACCGCGGCATGGCGTTGCGGCCAGGGATGGAAGGCGTCTGCGGAAGGCAAGCACGATACTGACAGAGCGGCCGATAGAGTGCTGTGCGGGCGGCGCTTCAACATTGGTGCCGACCCGGCGCGCTCGTATTCTGGGGCTGCGTGGGCGTGGACGTGGATAATTGCGAATGAAGTTGTAGATGCTGCCTCGCTCCGCCAGGCGCGATCGCGTTTCGCTTCGCTTAGTTCCGCTCTTCGCTTCGTGCCGCTCCGTCCGATGCGATCAACGCGAAGCCAAGCCCAGCCCAATCATACGACACCGACAGGCAGGCAGGCACAGTGCATGCCACATGGCCACCATGACCGCGCCCATCGATGATCCGGCCGAAGAGGCTCTCCTCGACCCCGAATCAAATCAGGATCAATACTCCCGGCCAGCACTTCAGAGAATCAACACCGGCGACGACGACTATCTCTCGCATTCCGAGCATGGCAGACTGCGGAAGCTGCTGTATGTCTCACATTTCTTGTCAACGTGGAACTGCAGAGTCTTTGAGTTTGGTGCATTTCTGTTTCTGGCCCATATATATCCACAGACATTGCTGCCAGCGTCTGTCTATGCTTTGGCCAGAGCTGGCTCGGCTGCAATCGTGTCGCCATGGCTTGGCCCGTATATAGATAGGGCGAACCGACTCAGAGCCGTCCGCATCAGCATTGGCAAGCCCTCACGTCCAAAATCTTCACGGCACGGTCTAACATCGATTTGCAGTTGGTCAGCGGCTTGCAGTTGCCGCTTCTTGTGCGGGACTGTTACTTATGGCCCAGCTCGATGTTCTTCGCGAGAAAGAGCTGTATTCCCATGCCTTTCTCGCTGCGCTTTCTGTGCTCGCGTGCGCCGAAAAGCTCGGTTCCGTCTTGAACACCATTTCCGTGGAGCGCGACTGGGTCGTCACTATAGCTGCTGGCCATGAGCAACTTTTGACATGTCGGTCTTGTCTTTGCTGCATCACCACATTGCTCCTAATGACTTATTTCTTCTACAGTAATGAATGCTCAAATGCGTCGCATAGATCTATGCTGCAAGCTCATTGGACCACTCGCAATCGCCTTCGTTGATGCCGCATCTCCAAGGGTAGCGATCCTTGCGACTGGCGTCATGACAGCCACTTCTGTTCTCGTCGAATACTTCACAATCGCGATGGTATATCAGCAGATTACAGCGTTACAGGAACCGAAGAACATTGCACTCCATCGGCGCAGAAGCAGTGAATCCGTATGGAGCTGCTTCAAGAGTTCTTTATCGGGGACTGCGATATATCTACGGCACCCAGCGCTTCTGCCGTCCTTTTGTCTGGCCTTACTGTATCTCACTGTTCTCTCATTCTCGGGGCAGATGATCACGTATTTGATTGCATTAGGACTGTCTTCGGGCCTCATCGGTGGTCTTCGCGGCATTTCGGCACTGTTTGAGCTATCAGCGACCTGGATAGCACCAAGAGTCATTTCTAGGATCGGATCCATTCGCGCTGGTAGTTGGTTCATCAACTGGGAAATTATCTGCGTCGTAATTGCTTGCGCCTTCTTCTGGCTGGATTATGGTCTAACGATTGCTGCGATTGGCACTGTCAGTGCCGTAATAGCAAGCCGAATTGGGCTCTGGGGGTTTGACCTCAGTGCCCAAATCATCATTCAAGAGGTAGGCCACAGCCGTCAGTCATTCAAAGCTATCAGTGCTCACTTGGCAACAGGAGGTGGAAGAACGATATCGCGGAACGTTTTCAAGCCAAGAGTTTGCGCTCCAGAACATCTTCGAAATGCTGGCCTTCGCTAGCACGATTGTCTTCCCTGATCCGGGTCATTTCAAGTATCCGGCTACAATGACTGCAGGTAAGGGCCTCACCTGGAGAAGACATTTCTGGTTCGTCGTTAATGCTTCTGAAATATAGGTGCTGTTGGCCTCGCGGGAGTTCTGTACGCAGCATTTGTGCGTTCGCGAAGGGGTCACTTGATTCATCTCTCTCGCTGCATCGACCGCGACAGCAGGAACAAGGTATTTGTTCATACATACTCATTGATCGTGGCGTAGCTGACCTCATGTAGGATCACCACCACTGGTGGACGAGAGTGCCGAATGAAGAGAATGCAGATGAGCAGAATGCGGATGAGGATGATGTTGGACAAGCAACAGCTGCTAATAATAGGCAGTATAGCACGCTCTCCGCACCAAATCACTCAGTCTCGTCCCATTGAAGCCCGCAACTCGAAAGCATGCGCAAGTGTATGACAGCCTATTATGCCCCACTTCGATGCATAAGGAGCTATCCAACATAGCAGCTAGGCCGAGCGGAGTGTTCTTTGCGCATATAACAGTGCCATCAATCATGAAAGATTGTGACTAGCGCTGACATTGACAGTGTCACTTCTTCAGTGTCACTTCTTCTGTCCTCGCCCATCTCTTTGATCTCCATCTGATCTTCCCCCAGATTTGCAACCACATTCAAAAGACTTCATGGCAGCTAACCTAGGCCTGCTTTTCGTGACGTCTCACATCCTACCGACCTCACATATCACTCCAGAGCAGTACGATAACTTTTACAACAATGAGCATCTTCCAGACGTCTTGGACTCTGGTCTCAGCGGCTCGCGGCGGGTAGCACTTCGCTACAAGAACAGCAACCCAGAAGCCGCAGATCCATATTTAGCCCTGTACCCAACAGAATCCACGTCCTCCCTCTGGTCAGGCACAGGCGCCTCAGACATACTCAAAAGTCTACAGCAAAACTCAACAGCCAAGACGCTCGACAACGTCGATGTTTACACCATTGCCAACTTCGGGCCTCGTTTGTACGAGAAGATCCAAACGTATGAAGCATACAGCCATGAGAATGACACTGGCAAGGATCGTGGTCGAACCATGGTTTGTATTGCTATGGAGCCTGGAGACGAGGCTGATTTTGAAGATTGGTATCGGAAGCAGCATCTAGATATGATGGCCATGTGTGAAGGTTATCTGAGATGTACTAGATACAGGAGGCTAGATGGGCAGAGTCCGAGGTATCTGGCTTTGCATGAGTATTCTTGTAAGCCAGAAGATTTGCCTGTGGAGCAGGTCAAGCAGATCGTTGCGACAGAGTGTAAGTTAGGCCGACTTGGTCTCATAGTAGAAATACGGATCTGATGTGCCTCATGTTTCCAGTTTCTGGACTCTGCTGACAAGTACTGATAGGGTCGAAGAAGATCCTCGAAGAGGCCAAAGTTTTTCACAGGGACGTCTATGAATTAGCGTACGTCGCTGGTCATGCCGAGCTGAAGCTGTAGTCTATGGGCCTGGGGTGAATTGAAGTCTAAGACGTGGAATGTGGGAAGCAAGAGATGTCGCCATATCCAACAGACGACGCGACTCTGGCTGATTTCATCCTTTCACGTACCAGAAGATCACCAAAAGAACCAGTCCGGATTCATCCCTATGCGCGGCTGCAAGTCGAACGCGCCAGCTTCCCATCTTGTGATCGCCATCCATGCCATCGCGAAACAGCCGATGGTCATGGCAAGGTATTGCTAGATCTTCATTTGACGCTCTTCTCCTGTCTTACCCCGAGGCAAGGCTTGGTCTTGAGTAGCCGGCATCTTGCGTGTTGCACATGTCTTGCGGCAGCTTATCTGGAGGTCTTGTCTTCGATGATAATTGAGCCCCTCTCATCTTCGATTGTCTCACTTCTCGGCGGTTTTCGCGGTTTTCGGGAGTGGCTTCGGCTGAGGTGGAGCTGTAGTTCTCACAGGTATCGAGATCGAGTTCGCGCTAGGGCAAAAAGTCCATAACGACGCAAGTCTGTCCACGAGTGGTGCCGACATATCTTGATGTTCGTCTTCTTGATCGATGATGGTTGTGAAATTGCTTCAAAACTTGCCGTCGTTTGCAGCTTATATTTGGGACCACCGCATGTACAATTGCGTGATCGATGATTTCTAAAGGTTGCAGGGCTAGCCTGTAAGACCCTGCATATTCTTACATGCAAAAGGGTCGGGATTGCCGGGGTGGGTCCACCACCTACCTCTCGGAATTTAGTATAGCACTCAGATAGCAATTATTATGCCATTTTCTTAGCAAACTATGCCCTCTAAAGCTTTAGATAATTCCGTAGGATATACCTTATCGTCGCTACTACCTAATTGCCCCCCTAGGTTAGATTTAGTATATCCGAAGAGTAGGTTTAGCCTCGCTGCCCTTGCCTAAGCAGCTTTTAACTAATTGTCGGCAGTCGAGCTACTACCTAAGACCTAATATATACTAGAAGACCTTGTCGACGCCTTATAATATATCGAAGATATATAGGCTTGTAATCTAGTAGTAGTAGTACTACAAAGGGATAAAGAACGGTCGGCTAAAGAGCTATATACTATAGATTTACTAGGTGCCGACCCCTTCCGTATACCGAGTATAGTAAATAAGGAGGAAGAAGAAGAAGAAGAAGAAGAAGAAGAAGAGATAGAAAGAATAAAGTAGAGGTAGAAGCTAGTAGATAGTATACTATCGAATACGTAAGTATAGATACCTACTCTACTACCGAGTACGTAGGTTAGTATCTAAGGGAAGACTCTTTCTTAGAAGGGCTAGAAACTAGCTAAAACTAGCGCTAAGACAAAGACTAATTCCCGCTTAAAGGCACTAGTTACTTAGCGGAAGAGTACTAGTAATATAAAGGGCGCAAAGTTAAAAGTAAAGGGGTCGAAGGGGTTAGAGTCGTAGGCTTCGTAGAAGCGCAAACGATCGGCGGCTACTAAACAACTACGCAACGCCGCTAATATACTAAACGACGCGCTAAATAATGCTTAAAGTGCACCTAATAGACCTCTAAGTAACTAGGATAAAATTAGTATAGCAGTTATCGAGAAACGTATATACAAATCTATACCTACTAGTAAGCAATCCGATACTTAACCCCCTCTACCTTCTACGGCCTCTTAACCGCTATTAGCTAAGATTTGTTATAAGACGCTCTTTATATATAATAAGGCTAAATAGGTAGGCATATAGACTACTATATACAAAGGCGACGTAGATATAATAGCTAAGTTTATTCGTACTACTAAACAGAGCGCTAGAGACTATACAGACAAGTGTAGAATATAGTGCTATTTTATTAATCGAGAGGCTATTATCGAGGCTGTAAAACACGGCTCTTCGAAGGAAGCCGATCCTATTTAATTTAATAATATTAAGGACCTTCTATATATCGATAAGATAATATAGTATTATACTGCAATAAAGCGATTAGTTACTATTATTATTAGCGAGAGTTGGTGTAGCAAGGCTACTATATTACTTAATTCGGACGATGCGGACCTTATTAAATCGGACTAAGACAAGCTACCTACTATATAGAAGGAAAAGGGCATTAAGTTAACTCGTAACGCTAACGAGAAGACTATCGCTACTTATAAGGAGTTACGATAGGTCTATAAGACACTCCTAGCCAAGTTTTATTGTCCTAACTTGCAGTGTACTAATAATAAGACCTTAGGTGTTATTAGTTGCTATATATAGCATAATAGGACCTATTATTTTATTATAGCTTTATACCTCGAGGAATAGCGCGAGTCTATTGCCGTAGGCACTGCTATAATCGATAATATGCTAGGCTCTCTTATTAGTACTATTATTAAGAACTATACCGACAGATTGCGTAGTAAGAAGAAGCAACAGTCGAGTTAAGAGGCACCTCCGACAATGCTATAGTATAGTCTAATACTACTATTTAATCCGTATACTATACCGCCTAGCTTCTCGTTCCCTTAGATAATGCCTTAACTAGCTTAGCTTAATCCACCTCCGCCGCTAAATCTACGCTCTTCGCCGATAATTAAAAGCAGGGCTGCTATTCTAAATAGGTTAAAGTACGTGCCGCCGTACTGCGACTAGCTTGCAAAGAGGCATCCGGAAATAAAGGCGGCAATTGCTAAGGCGAAGCCTTATATTAAGGAGGGCTTCTAGACACTGCAAATAATAAAGAAGGACCCGGATACAGACCTAGCGGTTAATATGCTACTATTTAGACTGCGTAAGAAGATAAGGGAAGACATAAAGATATATATAAATGCTATAGAGTGTAGTAATATTGTATTAGAAGATAAAGAGGCAGCGAAGGAGAATAATAGTGCTAATGCTACTACCGAAGACGAGACTAACGACGAGCTATAAGCTATATAGTAGTTAAACCGGCTTTAACACTTTAGCTTAGTCTATATTTAACTATAACCGTTAGAAAAATTCCGGCTATATATAAGAAGCATCTTTAAGTAGTATATATTTATATAGGATATATAAATTAATTAGTATCCTTTAAATGTAGTATATTCTAACTATACGATCGATATTAGTAATACTATAGACTAATACCGGAGGTCGCTCGGACTCGCTTCGCGGGGTCGGCGAAACTCTCGGTTATTCTAGCGGCAAAACCGAGCTAGCTTTATATACTAAGAACACTATATAATACTATTCTCTTTATACAAATAAAGGCGGCATCTTTCCGGATAGTACCGTCGGTATATTATAAAAAAAAATAAAGCTAATCGGATGCGTAGTTGTTTAGTAATATAAATATATTAGCTAGAGTCGGCTTGCAGACTAGATGTCGGACCTCTAACTCTAGCTCGAGGGTCGAGCGACTTTACGAATTCGAGGAAATTCTATAGTCGGCTTTATAACATAATAACTATATATCCGATTAACGTTATTCTTTTTTTAAAATGCACTAGACAAGCTAGTTTCTACGATAGGAAAAAAATTAATTAATAGTAGTTAGTATAAGGGAATGCGCTAAACAGTATAACCGAATCGGGTAGAACGCTAAACTAAGCTCGGAGCTTGCCGGCTTTCCGTGCGGGTATAAAGACATAGCTTAGTAGTAGAGTCTATATAGCGGTAATAGCGATAGCGAGCAGGTTTTAACTATATAACGACTATAACGATAAGATTTTTATATCGCTATATAGCGCCGACTGCGACGATTTATTTAGTATAGATAT